ATCTTGTCAGTTCTCGCAATTTTTCACAAGAAGTAAAAGTAGGAATTCAATATGAAACGTAAAAGCATATCAAGTTTATCAACAAAATATAAAAAAATAATAGAAATAGTCGAAGAGCGACGTGTTACTTTTGTATAAAGAATTCTAAATTGTTTTCATAATAGAAAATTGAAATACAATATTTGTGATTTCAAAAAAAAATTTACTCAATTTCATATATAGATTTACTGTTTTTCTCAAAAAATATTAAAAAAAAACATTAGAGTTTTTTAACGAAGGTTCATTGAGAAAATATTTTTTTTTTTAGAATATTTCGTAATGTTCTCATCATTTTTATTTTAATAATAAAAATTTATTGTTTAAACAAATTGTTAAAAAATCAATTTTTTTCAACTTTTTTTTTAATATTATAAAAACTTGACATTTTCACTGTGTTTTCAAGTTCAAAATTTTTAAAAATTTTCTGAAAAAGTAAATCCTAGAAGGATTTGTTAGAACCAAAATGTGTCCCACTTTCTTTGTACGTCGTTCGGTCTTGATGTGATAACATATAAATTCAGTCTGAAAAAATCTCATTTTTGAGGTTATTAACATAATTTCCAGAAATCGCATAATCTTAGACACATCTTAGATTACTGTTCATATATGAATTATTAGCTGGTAAAATTTCCATACAAACAGATATTAGAGATTTATATTCACTTTTCGTCATTTTCTTTCTAGAGGGGTCGATAATGTAATTCCATTTTCACTTCCACTTTCACTGATTTTAAAATTCACATATATTTTTATTTTTACTTCCACTGATTAGAAATTAGTGAAAGTGAAAATGAAATTTACAGGGAAAATTGGAATTTTTGGGACCCAAATGATGCAAGAAAAAGAATATAACCTCCTTTGATGACACAGGCCGAAAATATTTTCGCTTACTTCAGAAGCAAAAACGAGACTATACTTTTTCGAAGTATTTTGACGATCTGAATCCGAATCTGGCATCAGAATGGATCCAGCACGTCTGGTTTTTGAGATATTCTAACCTAAAAGTACAGAAAAGACGTTTTTTTGGCTATATTTCAAGCGTGTAACATTAAGATATAATTTTTTTAAAAAAATCGTTACAGCATCTGAATGTACTATTCTTACCCTTTAAAATGCATTTTTTTAAAAAAGTCTTTATTTGCCTCTGAGTTATCGTCATTTGAATTTTCTGAGTAGTGAATGTTTCAATATTTGTGTATTAGATAATGCTTCAAAAAATTCAAATTAGGATAACTCAAAGGCAAATAAAGATTTTTTAAAGTTTCACAATGCATTTTAAAGAGTAAAAATAGTACTTTTAGATGCTGTAATTACGTTTTTGAAAAAAAATTATATCTTAATGTTACACGACCTCAAATATGGTCAAAAATCGTCTTTTCTGCACTTTTAGGTTGGAATATAAATACATTTTTATTATTTGCCAGCGCAGATATTACTATTATATAATTAATGTTCCTTGCACATCGGTCGAATACAAAATCAAACTTATTTTGATATTTAAATTGCAAAAAAAAAAATAAAAACGTCGGCTCGGCGTATACTCAAAAAAAAGATATGTTTGAACCAAATGTACCATTTTTTATATTTACCCAATTTTTTGGTTAGTTCAAACAAAATTTGTTTAATTCAAATAAATATTTATTTGATCTAAATAACTGTTTGGTTTATTTTAATAAATTTTTTGAACAAAGAAAAAATTTGATTGAGCTAAATAAACGTTTGGTTTATGCAACCAAATGTTTGGTTAACTGTATATCAATGCATTTATTTTGTTGATTTAACCAAAATTTGGTTGCTTCGAACGAATTTTTTTCTGAGTGTACAACCTATTTGCCAGGGGTCTGTGTGACCCCAAATTGATTTTCAAAACATTTACCATCCAAGAGACTAGTGTAATTTCAAACAAATTATCTTTGATTTAAAAAAAATTATCTTCGTTTCAGAGAAATTTTTTATTTAATTCAAATAAATGTTTCTTTGATCCTATATCAATGTTAGAATATCTTTGATTTAATGCACAAATTTCTTTCACTCAAAGAAATTTTCTTTGAACCTAAGAAGCTTTTTTTGTTTTACAGAAAATTTTATTAATTAAAATTAAATTAATTTAAATTAAAACAAGTTAAAGAAATTGGTTTCATTAAATCAAAGAAATTTTTTCTTCTGGTGCAGTTAGTACGTATGAGAACGTGTAGTTAGTACCTAAACTTTCTAACAGATGGCGTCAGAGTCTCTAAATTCAAAAATGTGTGAAAGATATAATAAGCAAAAGTTAAGATTGGGGTCTTACAAAAAAAAATTAAGTAAAATTATTATTTAATTTCAATATTCAGGTATAGAAGTACAATTAATACAATAGGGTGTCATAAATGGTTTATTATGACTAGACTTGCAGTCGACTCTATTGTTATGTCCCCTTATCTCCTTATTTTTCTTTTAAAATATTTAATATAATATTTTAATATAAATTAACTTTTAGATCACAATTATGCTCGCAATTATGAAATTCTTTTTTTTTTATTTATTTATTTAAGATCGAAAATTTAATATTTTAATTTAATATTTCAACACAAATTGTGCTCCCTGCATGCTTCTGCCATCTGATGGCGACAGGACGTAACGAAACATAAACAAATATTTCAAGAAAAATTAATATTTAATTTCAATATTCAGGTATAGAAATACAATTAATACAATAGGGTGTCATAAATGGTATATTATGATTAGACTTTCAGTCGATTCTATTGTTTTTATGTCCGTTTCTCTTATTATTTTTCTTTTGAATATTTAATATTTTAACAAAAATTAACTTTAAGACCACAATTATGAAATTTGAAAATTCTTTTTTTTATTTATTTATTTAAGGTCGAAAATTTAATATTTTAATTTAATATTTCAACACAAATTGTGCTCCCTGCATGCTTCTGCCATCTGACGGCGACAGGACCTAACGAAACATAAACAAATATTTCAAGTAATATTACTATTTAATTTCAATATTCAGGTATAGAAGTACAATTAATACAATAGTGTGTCATAAATGGTTCATTATGACTAGACTTCCAGTCGACTCTATTGTTGTTATCTGTCCTTATTTTTCGTTTGGAATATTTAATATTTTAACACAAATTGAATTTAAGACCACAATTATAAACCAAATTCGAAAATTTTTGTTTCCTCTAACTCAAAACTAAATTCTTAACAGATTAAAAATTTCATTAATTTCTGAATAAAAATTGCGGTGCAGTGTATTTGTTTGTTTAAATTGTTTAAAAATACAGGGAAATTTATCGCAAAACAATTGTTTAATAAAAAGGAAACATATACGCAAAAATCCCAAGCAAACTTACAGAAAAAAACAAATTTTGTTGACCACAAATAGCTGTAAAATGTAATTGTTTATAAAATTTGTTTATAAAAATAATAAATTTAATTGCAAACAAATTTTGTTTATAAGAATAAAATTTTAGCGGCTTAGATTTAACATTAATCGTAAAAAATTCGATTAATTTCTGATCAGAAATGACCGTACAGTATATTCCGCGTGCTAACGTAAATGGTACAATGGGTCTGCTGGACCCGACATATTCAAACGTATATTGTATAGTCGGTATTGAATAATTTGCACAAAAATTTAATCTGAAGTTGCTTATTATGTGTTTTTTAAAATGTCATTAGTTTTACAAGGATTAATTTGTTTTAAGTTAGTTAAAAAAATTGTAAAAAATAAAAACGAAAAATTGCGTATTTTTACTTAAAAATTCATGAGTTACTTAAATTTTAATATTATGCCTTCAAAATTTAAGGTTATACTCTTGATGTATTATTCTTTAAGAAAAAAATTACCACAACAGCAGGACTTGCAAAAATTTACTTTGCAGAATAAAATGTGACTTTTTAGGTTAAAATTAAAAATTTATAATTATTAATGTTTGAAGATAATTTATTCTTTTGTATCGAATTAGTTGTATCAAAAAATTTACAAAATTACTAAAAACTAAAAATATGACAAACTAATATATTAAAATATATAAAATATTTAAAAGCTACACATTCAATTAATTTGAGTTCGAAAAAATGCTCGGATCTACTGGACCCATGGTGTCAGTTAAGGGTTAAGGTTAAGTAACATCAAGAGATAATATTTTTGTTTTCAAAAAGTCGTTAAAGCATCTGAAAGAATTGTAAAAGAATCTTTTAAAATGCATTTTGAAACTTTAAAAAATCTTTCTTTGCCTCTTAATTATTGTCATTTATCTTTTCTGTGTTTCGTGAATTTTTTAATATTCCTAAGTTAACAATGAGTAGTATCAGAAAATTCAAATGATGATAATTGAAAGCTATATGAAGATTTTTTAAAGTTTCAAAATTCATTTTAAAGGAAAAAAATAGTACTTTCAAATGCTGTAACGACCTTTTTGAAAAAAAAAAATTATCTGACCTCAATGCAATCAAAACACATCTTTTTGCACTTTTAGGTTAGAATATCTCAAAAACCAGACGCGTGTTGGGTAAATTCTGAGGTCAGATTTGGAATCAGCACTGTAAAATACTTTGGAAAAGTATAGTCTCGTTCTTGGTTCTAAAGTAAGCAAAAATTTTGTCGGACTGTGATAATTTAAATTTAAGTGGGTCAAAATTGGAGGTGATTGCTTTCCCATAATATAATCTATCAAAAAATTATGACACTTAAAAAAGTTCTTGTATCAAATTGTAGAGTAAAATTTTGAAGGAGGACATACTACTATATAAAGAAAGAAATAAAAAGCATTAACAAAAAATAAACAAAACTACATCAGGGAATTCAGAAGGTCAATTTCATTAAAAGTTTTGTTGTTCTACGCGCACTTAAGGCAAGTGCCGTGGTTTTCTCTCTCTCTCTCTCTCTCTCTCTCTCTCTCTCTCAACCCTCAGAGTTGAGTTAACATTTTTATTTTATTTTTTGTAATTTTTGCCATCAGACTTTACACCATGGAACGACCCTTGTGCACTGGGACTGTGATAGTGGAGCATCGCGAACAGCATTGGTCTACGCTCGTGTTGATCGTGCTTGTGGCACTTTCATTTGGGAAAAGCCATCATGGAGTTCGTTAAAAACAGCAAGTACATTGGGTACAGGAACACAAGATTTTTGCCTGACAATCAATGCCGAAGAAACAATACCCCCAGGATTAGTGAATAGATATTCTGCACAGCAAACAGATTGTGCTTTTGTCAGTCTTGAGGAAGGTTACATTGATCTTGCATGCGTAAAGGAGGTCATGATTGGATGCTGCGATCGAGATCGAGATCAAGAATTAAGGGGTATTTGCAAAAGATACGGCCTCCCTGGATCTGATTCTTGCATTGGTTTGATGTATGGGTCAAGTCTATCGGATAATCGGCTTATCTTTCTTCTTTGCCCGCCAGCACTCAGCAAGTAAGTGAATATATATGTCGTATTTGCTGATGTTGGAAATATTAGATATATGATATTATTGAATTTTTTAAAGTGACTGATTTAAAGTCAGTTTCCTTTTTTTTTTGCGCGTTACGATAACGAGTATATAATATAATATACTGCTTTCAAAATCGAATTATCGAAAAAAAATTTGTCCTTTGGTGATAAAAAGGACTTTTTGGGGGTCGATTATGTAATATCAAATTCACTTTTAATTTCACTTTCTCCAATTTTTAATTTTAAATTTACTTTCAATTGAGCCGCCGGAAAGTAAAAGGGCGCATAAAGTTTGTATGGCCGTTTGAGTTGGCCGGCTGTACAAATTTTATGCGCCCTTTTACTTTCCGGCGGCTCAATTTCACTAATTTTCGATTTTAATTTAAATGTCAATCTGTCAATATATTGAATTTAAAAAAAAATTTGTTATTACTTGCAGTTGAAATTAAAATTTAGTAAAGTTGCAACTAAAATAAAAATTAAAAGCGAAATTAAATTAAAAATTAGTAAAATTTAAATTAAAAGTAAATTGAAAGGCAAACTAAAATTGAAAGTAACATTAAAATTAAAATCAAAAATTAGGTAAATTTAAAGTGGAATTTAAATTGTAATTTAAATTGGAAGTGAATTTGAAACTTGAAATTAAGGATATTTAATTTGTAAGTAAACTTAAAATTACGAAGCTGAAGTACGCAACATTTATACAATAAACGATTTTTGAAGAAATAATTTTTTAAAATGAAAAATTCTATAACACCGTCTGACAAAATTCAACTTTTTTTTTTCACACACGAAAAAATCAATGATTTTCAGAAACTAGGACCAAAAAAAAGATACCCGTGTCTGGCCGTTTTGCCAGATCAGGTCATTTTTTGCTTTTAGGGGTAAAAACAACCCTTAAATGAAAGGTGATAGGAAATCTTGTACAAATAAATAATTTTTTATGAAACCCGGTATCTCGGGGTTTTCCGGGACGCTGATTACGAATATGATGTCAGATTTTCAAAATTCAAAATGGCAAATCCAATATGGCGGTCGAAATTTATAAAAATTCACCAATTCATTTGAAAGTTGTTACTTAGGGGATTCAATATAGCGGTCGAAATTTATAAAAGTTCATCGAATTCACTTGAAACTTGTTACTTGAAGGTTTTTGGGGTCGCTGATAACGAATATGATGTCAGATTTTGATAATTCAAAATGGCGGATCCAATATGGCGGTCGAAATTTATAAACATTAATTATTTTTTATAAAACTTGGTGTCTATGGGTTTTTGGCGTCGCTGAGTACGAATCTGAAGTCAGATTTTAAAAATTCAAAATGGCGGATTCAATATAGCGGTCGAAATTTATAAAAATTCGTCGAATTCACTTGAAACTTGTTACTTGAAGGTTTTTGGGGTTGCTGATTATGAATGTTATGTCGGCTTTTCAAAGTTCAAAATGGCGGATCCAATATGGTGGTAGAAATTTATAAATGTTATTATGTTATTATTATTATTATTATGTTATTATCAGCGACCCCAAAAACCGTCAAGTAACAAGTTTCAAGTGAATTCGATGAACTTTTATAAATTTCGACCGCCATATTGGATCCGCAATTTTGAATTTCGAAAATCTGACATCAGATTCGTAATCAGCGACCCGGAAAACCCCGAGATACCAGGTTTCATAAAAAATTATTTTTTTGTACAAGATTTCCTGTCACCTTTCATTTAAGGGTTGTTTTTACCCCTAAAAGCAAAAAATGACCTGATCTAGCAAAACGGTCAGACACGGGTATCTTTTTTTTGGTCCTAGTTTCTGAAAATCATTGATTTTTTCATGTGTGAAAAATCGTGTCGGACGGTGTAATTTTTTGCCAAAAAAAAATTTATTTTTTATAATTTGTTGATTAATGAAATTGAATTTGAATGTGAACATAAAATTGAAAATTAGTGAAATTGAATGTAAACTTAAAATTCAAGATTAGAGAAATGAAAACTTCATATTTTTTCAAAAAATAGAAATTCTAAAATGCTAAAAAACTACTTTTTTTATTATAATTTTTTTTTAATTTGGCAATTTTTTAGGACAGGAAAGATATATAAAAAAAAACATCTTTAACGTTTCGAAACCAGTACCGGTATCCTCATCAGAATTTATTAATCTATAATTATAATATAAATGAGTATTACAATTTATTTGTTATTTAAAAATTAATTATTACAAATGCAATCAGAAAATTAGAAATCATTTTTTTTTTATGTTGATTACGCAAAAATATTTTTAGATCGTAAATAAGGAAATAAATTGTTGTCTAATAACAAAAATAACAAAAATAATAATAATAATAATAAAAAATTTTATTGAAATGTAAAAAATCATAAATACATATTTAAATTAATTTTGATAAGAGCTTAAGCATATATATATATATATATATATATATATATATATATATATATATATATATATATATATATATGAGAGATTCTTTTTCAATCGCCCCAGCCCAAAAAGTCAATGTTCTGGGATTGGCTTCATACTTTGGTAAATTGTTGTCCTATATGATAGTAATAAATCCCTAAAATATAAACTAATTAAAAAAATATTTGTAGAAAGTAGAGGGGGTTGAAGTTTTGACGTTAAGGGTAACATTGTCATTTTCAAATCCGTTTAACTATGACAAAAGTTAATGGATTTTAATTTATCTATAATGAATTTTATTGTATTTTTCACGTACTTTTCAAAAATGTATACAAAATTTAAAAAAAAAAATTTTTGACCCCTTTTTTTCAAAATCAACCCTTATTTTTCGATTTTCACCCCTTCGGGAATTTTTTTTTGTTTTTTTTTTATTTTCATTGGAAAGCTGAGGTTTTTTCCCATGAGCTATGTAAATATGAAAATGGGACAACAATAATTTTGTGAGAAACATAATATTAAATTAGGCGGTGCCTATCTAAATCCTCAAAGATGATCTCCAGGTACACCCCTTATCGGCACCGCCTACTTTAATATTCTGTTACTCACAAAATTATTGTTGTCCCATTTTCATATTTACATAGCTCATCGGAAAAAACCTCAGCTTTCCAATGAAAATAAAATAAAAAAAAAAAAAAATACCCGAAGGGGTGAAAATCGAAAAATAAGGGTTGATTTTGAAAAAAAAGGGGTTAAAAATTTTTTTTTTTTAAATTTCGTATACATTTTTGAAAAGTACGTGAAAAATGCAATAAAATTCATTATAGATAAATTAAAATCCATTAACTTTTGTCATAGTTAAACGGATTTGAAAATGACAATGTTACCCTTAACGTCAAAACTTCAACCCCCTCTACTTTCTACAAATATTTTTTTAATTAGTTTATATTTTAGGGATTTATTACTATCATATAGGACAACAATTTACCAAAGTATGAAGCCAATCCCAGAACATTGACTTTTTGGGCTGGGGCGATTGAAAAAGAATCTCTCATATATATATTCAGTTTTTTGATATAAAAGAAGACTTTTATTTCTCAAATAATCCCTATTGTATTTTGTTTTTTATTTGCAAAATTTAATTTTTCGCTGGATTCCTTTTTTGACCTTGTTCTATTTTACTTCAATGGCCTACATATTTTGATTGTCTCCCTCCTTTACACTGATATTTTCATTCGTTCAAATTTAATTTTATTTAATATAGTTTTATCTTGACATACATTTTTTTAAATATATATATATGTATATATATATAATATCTTTTGTTTTCTTCTATATATAAAAATTTCAGAAAATTGAATTTCTCAAAAAATATATAAATAGAATAATTAAATGATATTGTTTGTAGAGCTCAAACAAAACAGACAACTTGTAATAAAATGTATTTAAAAAAAATTTTATGAAAAAAATTTTTAATATTGCTTTAAAGCATTTGTAAGAGAAATTATACAAAAATAAAATAACTTTAAAGAATAAAAGAGATAAAATGAATAATATAAATTATTATTTATATAATTATGAATTATAAAATTATAATCAAAGATGATAATAAATACTTTTATTTATAATTTATAAAATTTATAAAAAAAAAATTATATTTAACTATCTAGAACATAAAATAAAGAAAAGAGAATTATTCTGTGAACATTAAATTTATTTTACATAAAATCTTTTTTTAGTAGTAATTAAAATTTTGTAATTTAAAGTTGATCATTAAATCATATAAGTAATCCTTGAAATAAAATTATAGAGCAAATATTAAATTAAATATATAGGTACGTTTGAAAATTATATATCATTTTTTCTTTTTTTTTCACCGAATATTCTATACTCTATATAGCAACTGTACTATTTTCTGATAAAAATAAAAAGAACTTGATCTCTTGAATTTACTCTTTTGTGTAGAATGCCCTACATATGCAACAGTATAAGTAATGCGTAATCAATATAAAGAAAATAATATAAACGAATTTTAAGAGTTCTTCTCTTAATTAAAAAAGTCACTTACTAACTTTTATTTAAATTTTGTTCGTTGATATTTCTTCTTAATAATTAAAAAAAAAAAATTTAACATTTCTTACAAAAAAAAAAAAGTTAAAAGTAATTTTACTTGAAGGAAGAAAAATGTTACAATTTATACAATATTCACACTTTTACTTGTAGGAAATTTTTTTTTTTTTAATAATGTTAAAAGAATAAAGTTTCTTATTTCACACGTATATATAAGTTTTCTAAAAGGAATATTAATTTTAAAAGTTAAACGATGCCATATGTCCCTTAAATCTATTAACTTTTATATTAAAAGTTTCGTTAATACAAAAAAAAGAGGAAAAAAAATTTCTTCTCTTTTTTTTTTTTAATTTCAGTGAATTCATTGATAAAATATCCGCGCAAATAGAATATAATTTGAAAGTTCTAATAAATGTTGAATATAAGTTCAAGGGTCAAAATTTCATAAATCGATTAACTAAAATTATTTTAAATAATTCATTTTCAACGTAAAATCATTTTTTCACTTTTAATGCGATTTTAAAATTATTAAGACCAAAAATAATTGTTTGATAAGGTTATTAATAATTTGTCATTTTTAGCAATATTAACGAATAAAATTTTTTCTCATAATCCAGTTGACTAATTTAAAAACAAAAAAAAATTAATTTTGTTTACATAAGCATTTAAATCAATGCTCATTGATCATATTTTGCACAATTTACTTTATTACAATTATACACTTGCAAAGAATTTATTCAGGGGAAGGTGACAAACAGTGGGACGCTTTAATTTTCTGAAAATCTACTAACAATTTTTATTTAAATAATTTCTTGTAATTGCTTATTTTTTAATATGGCGTCTAAAAAATTTAAAAATTGACTAGTTTTTGCATAAAAATGGTTCCTTTAAGGTTTTTGGGGTCGCTAAATCCAAATTTGAGGTCAGATTTAAAAAATTCAAAATGGCAGGCCCAATATGGCGGAAAAATTTAAAATTGATTCGATTTGTTCAAAATTCGATACTCGGGTGTTTTTGGGGTCGCTGAATCCAAATTTGACGTTAGATTTGGATTCAGTGACCCAAAAAACCCCCCAAGTAACGAATTTTGAACGAATCGAATCAATTTAAAATTTTTCCGCTCTATTGGGTGGCCATATTGGGTCCGCCATTTTGAATTTTTTAAATCTGACCTTAAATTTGGATTCAGCGACACCAAAAACTTTTAATACGTTTATATGATATTTTTTTGGAAAATTTTTTTTTTGGACCGTTTTGGGCCCACAAACGATTTTTCGACTAGACTGCGAAGGGGTTAATCACAATATAATCTTAATAGAATGTGTGCATTGTGTAGAAAAGAGTTCAAACTTTATGGTAATAGCAAAAAATGTTTAAAAATTTGTAAAATTGACATATTACTAAGGTAAAAGCACTAGTATTTGGACAAAGCAAAAATTGGAACCACACTACAAAAAGAAGTATCTTAATATAAGATGTTTTGGTAGTCATTTTTAAAATTTTTTGGTTTTTGGTAACTATGGCCTCTTATGTAAGATTCTTAATGTATTTTATATTTTAGTAACTTCAAATTCTGATGTATCTTAGAATTTACAAGTATCTTTTTTCTAAACATCTTATGAGTTGACAAATACCTTAATTCAAGTTACTTATAGAAACTTACCGAAGTAACTTACATTTTAAGATGGAAGAAATATTTTAATTCTTCTTAAAAGGCAAAAAGCATCTTAAATATTAATAAGATACTTTACAAAATATCTTTTTTTAAGATGAAAGATACCATTTTTCTATATTTCATCTTATTGTAAGATACCAAGTAAGTCACTTAGATGGAGAGATGCAGTAGATGGAGAGTAGTAAAAAGAAATTAAAATAGCCCTCAAATTAAGTTAAAAAAAAATTGAGATATACACAGAAAATTAAAAGGCATTAAAGTAAGTTGCAACGCTTATTATTTTAATCCAATTTTGCTTATTTTAATACCAAAATGGATTAAAATAAGTTGCAACGCTTATTATTTTAATCCAATTTTGCTTATTTTAATACCAAAATGGATTAAAATAAGTTGCAACGCTTATTATTTTAATCCAATTTTGCTTATTTTAATACCAAAATGGATTAAAATAAGCAAAATTGGATTAAAATAATAAGCGTTGCAGCTTATTTTAATGCCTTTTAATTTTCTGTGTACTCTTTAGATTTTAGGCAAAATAAAATTTACCTCTATCACTGAAACAAAAGGGCGTAGAACCTTCCACTTGGGCTTAAATTGAAGCTTAATGTTTTAACTATTATCCACAAAAATGACCTATCTTGCACCATAACCTCAAAGTCATTTGTTATCTATTTTTGATTCGCAAATCTTAATTTTGTTAAAGTTTGAGAGCGTACCTCTAGTCACCTTTGGTTTTATTGACTAGAGTTATTCAAATATTACCAAATAGTTTCTGTAGTTAAATACTGGTTACTAACAATTTTGAGGTTATGATGCAACATAGGTCATTTTTGGGGATAATAGCTGAAACATTAAGCTTCAATTTAAGCCCAAGTGGAAGGTTCTACGACCTTTTGTTTTAGTGCTAGTTTAATTATATTTTAGTTCAATTATTTAATTTATTTAATAATCAAAATAACTCAATAAATAAATTATTATTTAATTTACTTATTTAATGTCCAACTACTGGGTCTTATCATGTCCAACTTCTGCTGCAAATGTGCAATTTCATTATTTCATGATTTTAATTTAATTAAAACATCTAACATTATTAATTTGTCTAATTAGTATTTTTTAAAGGTAAATAAAACGAAAATACAAACATTTTATTAATTATATTGAATTATCTTAGTACAAAACACAAATAAATTTGAGACCCTTTCAATAGCGTCCAGGTATACTGGTGCTTTTACCTTATGTCTTTAAAAAAAAGTTGTCCCACTGTTTGTCACTCTTCCCCATTGTAAATGTTTGCAACTGTCATATATATGAATAAAAAACAAACATAACCTATATTGAGTTGAAATCACCTGATTGGCCCAGGCTAAAATAGCGCGCGCGCTTATTTGAAATAAAGAAATTTAATAAAATTTAATAAAACAATTGTAATAAATTATTATGAAACATAAATTGAATTGAATGGACAAATAATAGAAGCAAAAGGGACGAAAAAAAGTCGTTGAAGGTGCTAGTAAGATTAAAAAGTAATTTTTTTTTTTTAATTTTAAATGATCCGTTTGAGCAAAATTTGATCATTAAAAAAAAATTATTTAATTTAATAATTATTATTAAATTTTCATGTGAAAATAATAGTAAACTTTTGCTAAACAATTTTTTTTGTTTTTGAAAAGACGTGTTAATTGTAGGTCACAATAAATTGATAGATACCACACAATTATTGTTGTCGAATACAAACCATGCAAAATCGATTAAGGTGAGCAATTAAATGTGAAATAGCGAGAGCTACAGTAATTACATTGCAACAGTTGATTACGCATTGCCAATGTGAATGAAATTCTGACACTGCATATATATATGTATATATACTGTATTGTTAAAATGTTGCTGAATTCCTGATGTTCCTCTCTCTACCATTCGTTACTTTATCTTCCCTCTCTCTCAATATATATATATATATATATATATATATATATATATATATATATATATATATATATATATATATATATATATATATATATATATGCAAGATTCAATTTTGGAGTATTGGTTGTATTGAGAAAAAATGTAGGCCACAAATATTACGGTTGTATGCTAAAAAAAAAAGTAGAGAATAAAAGAGAGAAAATTTATATATGACATAGAGATATGAAATAATGTATTACGAATACACAAGAAAACAAATACTTTGAATTCAAATTTAGCGTCAAAATTTATCTTAGAAACACATTTTCTTTGCTAGGATCTAACATCATGTATGATAAAAGGAAATAATTATTATTTATAATTAAAATATTTAAAAAAAAACACCTCCTTGTTAGTCCTCTTAAACTGCATCTCTTTCTACTGACTCGTTGAATGAAAGCTTTAGTAAAATAATTACGCTATTAAAGATAATGGCTGTATTCTGCGAGCTTAAAACGAAAAAGAAAAGAACCTTAGTAATGCTAAAGTTTAATAGACTATATATAAGGACCAAGTGGCCGAGGTTTTCGTCTAACATTAAATATTTTTCAAGCAAAATTTCCTTTGTTTTTCATATTATATATAATAAGTTTACTATCCAGGTCGTGGAATTTAAAAAATAATTTTTTTTCCCGCATCCAAAAATCTACTATTTCTGCATAGGAAAATTAATTTGATAAAATAAGGTTAATAATTACTATTTGAGATTTTCATCGTGTCTAAAGAAAGATGTTTGTCTCAATTAAAAGACTATAACTCAACATGTAAAGCATGTTATTAAGAAAGAATAATTTCCATTTAATGCTTTGATAAACAATACAAAGATCCTTGCGATGATTTGCATTCATTATAGTAAAATTAGATGACAAAATTGCAAATTGCATTTTAAGTCTTAAATTTGATTAATATGGGGAAAATTTATACCTATAAATTGTATTTTGTATTTTGCTTTTAGAACATGGTACATGGGTTTGTGTTGGATTCTTCGGGGCTTAAAGAGACAACAACAATTAACAGATCGAAGATCACGTTGGCTTAAAGAAAAGTACCTTCAGCTTTACTTTGAGGAGGGTTGTTCTGAACCAATGACAGCTGATGCAATTCGTATTTTTGGTGGTCGAGATTGGTCCGTTACCGAAAGTATTGGAAGTCTATCACCTACCAGTAGTAATACTTTAAAAAGGCGGAATGACAAAAGAAAGAAGACAAAATCGATTGGAAATATTCATGCATTATCTAAGGTAATTCAATTTATTTAATTTGCCTCTTAGAACCCACCCCCCCCCCCACAGTACCGAAAATTTCCTAAAGATTTATTAAATGGGTGATTAACCTAACCACCCTATAATTATAATTAGGGGAAAATTTTATTTAAATGTTTAGGAAAGTTTCACACTAAATATTTATGTAATCGGGACATTTAAATCTTTACACAAATTCCACTGAACATTGCAATTAAATATTCCGAACATTTCAAATAAATCTTTAGGAAATTTTCGGTACCTAATTCTAAACTTAACGATAAAAATATTTATCCGCCAGAGCTAAAGAATTTCGTTTCCAGTTCTTTTTGTTCATACTAAAAAAGTCATTATTTTTCACATTTGCTCTGTTCATTCTACGTTTTCCCCACACATACCATTCACTACACTAACCACCCTTCAAAAATAAAATATTAAAAAAAAAAAAAAAAAAAAAAAAAAAAGGTGAAATAACTTCACCTTTTACTAAATGTGTGTACAACACAACGCTACAGTGGTATGCAAAATGACAAAATTTGGTTCAAATTAACTTTTAGACCACACTGAGAAAAAAGGTTTGAGCTGACAACCAAATATTTCATTTAATATATGTGCAACTAAAATTTTTTGGTTGACACAACTAAACTTTAGTTGACATCAACCAAAGTTTGGTTGAGACTACCAAATTCTTTTTCATTTTCTTATTTAGTCGTCTCAAACAAACTTTGGTTGTTGTCAACTAAAGTTTAGTTGTGTCAACCAAAAAATTTTAGTTGCACATATATTGAATGAAATATTTGGTTGTCAGCTCAAACCTTTTTTCTCAGTGCACAATTACACAGGCCGACAAAATTTTGTCTTACTTCACAACCAAGAACCAGACTATACTTTTTCGAAGTATTTTGAATCCGAATCTAACTTCAGAATTAATCGAGCACGTCAGTTCTTCGAGATATTCTAACCCAAAAGTGAAGAAAAGACGTTTTTTCGCCATTGACATGAAAAAGTGTCTTTTTTGTGCCTGTTTTGGGCAGATAAAGTAGCACTTTTTAAGGCAGTTTGGGCCAACTGCCTAAAAAAGATTTTTTTAGGCAGAAAACTGCCCTATAAAGTCTTTTTTAGGCAGTTGTTAATTTTTGCATAATTTTTGTAAAAATATATAAAATATATAATATATAATATATAATATATAATATATATATATATATATATATTTCTTTAAAATTGTTTCACTTTTTCATAACAATGGCGAAAAAATAGCGTATGTGGCTCGCACGTAGTAATTTTTAGGTTCGAATGATTTCAATACTCGCTGTCTGTGCGACTTCGGTTCGACTTGTCTCGCTTTCGGCTCGTCTTCGTCTCACCTACGTCGCACTAACGACATCTCGTATTGAAAATTACATCCTCACCTAAAAAGTACTACTTTACGTGCTTGCCACATAATATACTATTTTTGACCATATTTCAGGGCGTGTAACATTAAGATATAATTTTTTATATAAAAAAGACGGTTACAGCAACTGAAAGTACTATTCTTACCCTTTAAAATGCATTTTGAAACTTTAAAAAATCTTATCTTATCTTTATTGTTAGGTTAGAATACAAATACATTTTTATTCTGTGCCAGCGCAGATATTACTATTATATAATTAATGTTCCTTGCACATCGGTCGAATACAAACTCAACCTTATTTTGATATTTAAATTGCAAAAAATAATAAAAAAGTCGGCGCGGCGTACAACCTATTTGCCAGGGGTATGTGTTACCCCAAATTGATTTTCAACACATTTACGAGCCAAAAGACTAGTGTAATTTCAAACAAATTATCTTTGATTAAAAAAAAATTATCTTCGTTTCAAAGAAATTTTTTATTTAATTCAAATAAATGTTTCTTTGATCCTATATTAATGTTAGAATATCTTTGATTTAATGTATAAATTTCTTTAATTCATAGAAATTTTCTTTGAAACTAAGAAGCTTTTTTTGTTTCAGAGAAAATTTTATTTTGAATGAAAGAAAACTAGTCAAAGAAATTGGTTTCTTTAAATCAAAGAAATTTGTTCTTTGGGTGCAGTTGGTGTAGTTAGTACCTAAAATTTGTAACAGATGGCGTCAGACTCTCCAAATTTAAAAATGTGTGAAAGATATAATAAGCAAAAGTTGAGATTGGGGTCTCACAAAAAAAGTAATATTATTACTATATAATTTCAATATTCAGGTATATTGTATAACTGATAAAATAGAGTGTCATAAATGGTTTATTATGACTAGACTTTTAGTCGACTCTATTGTTTTTATGTCCCTTTCTCTCATTATTTTTCTTTTGGAATATTTAATATTTTTTTAATTTAATATTTTAATACAAATTAACTTTTAGACCATAATTATGAACCAAATTCGAAAATTATTGTTTCCTCTAACTCGCAGAACTAAATTCTTAACAGTTTGAAAATTCGATTAATTTCTGACCAAAATTTACAACAGATTGTATTTATTTATATGAATTATTCAAAAATATAAAGAAATTTATCGCCATACAATTTTTCAATGAAAAGGAAATTTACGCGCAGAAATCCAAAGCAAATTTACAACAACAAAAATTTTTTTTGCTCAAAAATAGCCGTAAAGTGTAGTTGTTTATAAAATTTGTTTATAAAAATGATAATAATAATTGCAAAAAAATTTTTTTTATAATAACATTTTTGCGGCTTAGATTTAACATTAATCATAAAAAATTCGATTAATTTCTGATTAGAAATGACCGTACAGAGTATTTGTTTATAAAATATATTTTAAAACATAAGCAAATTTACTTAAAAAAATTTTTTATTTGACCACAAACAGCCTTATGCTGTATTTATAATATAATTTGTTTATAACAATTTTTCAGTGTAAAAAAATTTTTTTTTTTTTTACTATTTGCCTATCCCTAGGCCCTAAATGTATGCAATATTAAATATAAAAAAAAATTGAAAGCAAAAGAGACCAAAAAAGTTTAAAAAATAATAATAATGATACAATTTGCGTTAACATTACAAATTTTTGAAGCGAAAATTAAAAAATCGACTCACTCAGATTTGTTCAGAATTTAGTTCTGAGTTAGAGAAAATAAGAATTTTTGTTCATAATTGTTGTCTTAAAGTTAATTTGAACCAAATTCAGCTAAGTCCAAGTTTGGACCAGTCTAGAATATATAAACAGGGGCTCTGCCAAGGTGAGACCAATGTTGGGCCAACAATGATTTTAGGCATACGTTGGTGATTTCTACATGGGTTAATAAATTTTTATGAATGAAAAATAGATTTTGGCCAGAAAATAAGGTCAAATATCCCACAGTGAAATGGACAGAATTTATGTAGATTATTTTCTTAACCTATTTATATGTTCCCTGACAAAATTTTCAGACTAATGTTGACTTCGTGTTTGATAAGTATATTATTCCGAGGCATTACGAAATTTACTTCCGAACCAATTAGTTTCTATTGAAATCTAAGTTTACACAGTGCAACAGCATTTTTATTTCTGAGACCGCATAGGGTGATTCTTATAGGTTTTTCGACGCTGAACACGAATCCGTAATCAGAATTGCTTCATCACCCCAGGTTTTCGAAAAATTTGACCTCGAAAATTGAAAAATGCCGTTTTTAGGGTACTTTTTGATTTTTTATTACGGTTCCAAAATTTTTTCTGAGTCACCTCGAATTCGTAATCAGCGACCCCAAAAACCCCCGAGTTACAAGTTACAGGACATTTCGATCGAGTTTAGAAAAAGTCGTCCGCCATATTAGATCCGCCATTTTGAATTTTTAAAAACGGACTTTGAATTCGTAATCAGCGACCCCGAAAACCCCCGAGTAATAAGTTACAGGCGATTTAAAATACATTTGGATTTTGGACCATTTTTTTATACGCCTCCTGCACTGTGATCCCGTTTCTCGTTGCAACGCGAATTTCAAATCAAGATAACTCATCCAAAAAATGATATTTTTTAAAAATCAAAATTGGAAAATGTTAAGGAGGATATCAGCTTTCATATGCATATCATGAAAACCTCAGAAAAAAATTTGGTACCGTAATAAAAAATCAAAATATCCTCCTTAACATTTTCCAATTTTGATTTTTAAAAAATATCTTTTTTTGGATGAGTTATCCTGATTTGAAATTCGCGTTGCAACGAGAAACGGGATCACAGTGCAGGAGGCGTATAAAAAAATGGTCCAAAATCCAAATGTATTTTAAATCGCCTGTAACTTATTACTCGGGGGTTTTCGGGGTCGCTGATTACGAATTCAAAGTCCGTTTTTAAAAATTCAAAATGGCGGATCTAATATGGCGGACGACTTTTTCTAAACTCGATCGAAATGTCCTGTAACTTGTAACTCGGGGGTTTTTGGGGTCGCTGATTACGAATTCGAGGTGACTCGTGAAGCTCTGGTTTTTTCACTGTCTCTCTTAAACAGTCCGGAAACCTCAGAAAAAATTTTGGTACCGTAATAAAAAATCAAAAAGTACCCTAAAAACGGCATTTTTTCAATTTTCAAGGTCAAATTTTTCGAAAACCTAGGGTGATGGAGCAATTCTGATTACGGATTCGTGTTCAGCGTCGAAAAACCTATAAGAATCACCCTATGCGGTCTCAGAAATAAAAAAAAAAAATGAAAATCTGTTGCACAGTGTTATATATAATTTACCAAAGAAAAATTCTTTCCATATCAATTAGTTTAATTCCAAAACTGAATTTTAATCTCTAAAAATCTGTTTTCAATTTATTTTGAATAAAATAATAATGAACGATGATTCTAATGAAGACAGATACACATCGACAGAAACGTAGAAAACTCGAGTATAGGAAAAATTCAAATGGATCAAATTATCTGGATCATATGTTTAGCAATTGAAAAGGAAAAAATAATAATAAAACAAAGGAAATGGAGAATGGAAGAGTTTATTTAAATGGGGGGTGAAAAAATGAAGGGAAGCAATAGGGGAGGTAAAGGAATGATGTGAAAGAAAAGAGATGGATAAATTTAATGGAGAGATAGAGTAGAAAGAATATGTAGAGAAGGTGAAAAAGGATTGTGGAAACAAAGTAGAATAAGTGATATAGAATGGTAAGGGGAATGGGTTACCGAGGTATTTGGGAAAGATGAGAAAATTTGTGAGATGAAGTAAAATGGATGAAAGAAACTGTAAGTATTGAATGATGAAAGAAGAAAAGATTTGTATAGGTATGAAAGAGAAAATAATTTGGCACATATTTTCGTAGGCAGTGTGTGTGTGAGAGAAATGAATAAAGAAAAATGTGTGGAATGAATTTTTGATAGTGTTAAAGGTTAGAGGTGAATGAATTAGAAGGAATGGAGGTTGTAAATTAATTAATCAACGAAGGGAAAAAACAGTTCGTTGACGAAACTGGAAACGAAAGCCTCGGCACTGGCAGATCGATTTAATTATAAGATTCGCGTTTTGTATTTGGATAATTTCTGTTTAAAGAAGTAGAAATTGATACAAAAAAAAAAAATAATTGGTTTGGAAATAAACGCCATTAATATTTAAATAAGAAAATTCAAAACTGGATTTTATTTGGATACAAGATTAAATTAATTAATCTTGACGTTTAGGGAAAGTTTTCGAGATTTATAGCAGATATAATAATAATCATTTAAACGATTTATAAAGTATAATAAGGTTTTCATCTCGCGCTTATTTCAGGATTTGAGCTTTAGGCATTACGATTCTTCAGCGGATGGAGGATTATCCATGGCCCCTTTGCATTATATAACAGGAAGCAGAGAATCTTTAACTAAAGTTGTACCGGCTTCTCCACGAACGGGCAGAGACAGAATTCCATCTCGAAGTCCCCCTGGATCTGCTGAGCGTATTGTCACCTCAAATTTGCCTTATTCCAGTTTACAGAGGTAATTCTCCATATATACAATGTTATAATCAATTATTGAAACCAGTCAAATGGATAATAGCTCCCATTAATTGCATTATATATATCAAAATCTTATTCAATTCACTCAATATAATCACACATACGCACAAACACCAAATGGGTGATTGATCTTTCTGAAAATTATGCGATAGAGAAACAATATGCTTGCTATAATATCTTTGCCTGTCATTAATAGATATTAATAATATTATCACAATTCCGATAATATTATCAGATTATTTATTAGCAAAATTTTAATATCAATTGCTTCAAAAAATAATTTTTAATGTTGCTTATTATGCATTTTTCTTTTTCACTTTCTACACAAGCTATTTTGTTGTTGTTAAACACTTTTGTGAAATGTCTTTTTGAGCGATATTCGATTTTTTTTTGGAGCACAAGCAATTCATTCATCGATAATCGAAATTATTCTTTTTTTTTTTGATATTATCAAATGGATAATTTATCATGTTATTTAATTGAAAGAAATTTTGTGAGGAACAAAAATATTTGAAAATGATTTATCATTTTATAATATTGGGGAATTTGCTTGAGACTGACAACCCTGTAATTTCTCGCTTGCCTGGTATTCGTGTTGATAGCTCATGCGAATATTATGCTAGCTGCCAGGTTTAACATTTCAAGGGTCGCATAACTTTCTGTTAAAGGCAGATGATGTGCAGTAGCGCTAGTAGCAAGCAGAATCCTAATCACGCTTCCTCTATTCTATCAATTGCAAAAGGGATTATTTAAAAAAAAGAAATAAATTAACAAAATAAATGATAAATAAATAAAATTATAAAATAGAATTATAATAAATTATTAGAGATACAAAAAAATAATATTGAAAATTTTTAATTAAAGATTTTAATTTTACATAATTTTCCAAAGTAACACAGAACTTTTTTCAGTGGTTGGCTTTCTTTTAGAAAATGCCTTATCTTAACCCATTAAGCCCCACAATAATTAAGCAATGAAATTTTAGTCTAACTTCAAGGAATGATATTTCACAGGAAAAGAATGACAATTTTTTGAAATTTAAAAATCAAAATGGCGGATTCAATATGGCGACCAAACATTTTTAAAGTCGACAAATTTAGCAAAAAATGTTTAATTGGGGGTTTTCGGGATCGCTGATTACGAATTTCATGTTAAAATTTCAAAATTTAAAATGGCGGATCCAATAGGGAGACCAAAAAAATTTTAAAATCGATAAATTTCTCTAAATGCATTTAGAATACCATCTTTAGTCACCTAGTACTAATTGGTGCTTCCCGATTCTCATACAGAGAGGTAGATAGTTTTTAAGAGAATCAATTTAAACATTTCTTTTTGTTTTTTGAAATGTTTTATAAATTTTTTTGTTTTTTTAAATATTTTTTTGTTTCCTTTCAATTCCTGATTTTATTATTTTATTTACTTTCATATATTATGCTGTGGTTTTTATAAAAAACAAACATTAATATATTAAAGTAAATAAAATAATAAAATCAGTTATTGAAAGACACAAAAAAAATACAAAAAATATTTCAAAAAAACAAAAAATATTTTAAAAAACAAAAAAAAATTTTATAATGATTCTCAAAAACTATCTACCTCCCCGTGGTGAGAATCGGGCAACATCGATTAGGACTAGATGGCTAAAGATAGTATTCTAAATGCATTTAGGGAAATTTATCGACTTAAAAATTTTTTTGATCGCTTATTGTATCCGCCATTTTGATTTTTCAAATTCTGACATCAAATTCGTAATCAGCGATCCCAAAAACCCCCAATTCAACATTTTTTGCTAAATTCGTCGACTTTAAAAATTTCTTGTCGCCATATTGAATCCGCCATTTTGATTTTTCAAATTCTGGCATCAAATTCATAATCAGTGATCCCGAAAACCCCCGGAATAAGCATTTTCAACTAATTTAGGCACAATTTAAAAAATTTGGCACATTTAAATAATTTTTTCTACTTTTCGATGCCATTTTGAAAAAATAAAAGTCAGAAGGAGAAGGAGAATATTTTTTGTTTAAAGTTTAACAATCGAGTGCACGATTTATAATATACTTGATGGCTGTCGAAAAAATTGTTTTCCTTTTAAAATATTTGTAAATTTATTGAAAAATCATTAAATAAATGGCGTCAATTTGCAAATAAAAATTAATAAATATTATTTAACATTTTTTATGCCTTTTTTTGATAGCATTTTTGGAAAAAGCATATTCAAATACATTGGATGTAGGTTTTCAAAAAAATTGGAATTTTTATTTCTGTAAAATATCATTCCTTGAAGTTAGACTAAAATTTCAGTGTATTTGTGGCTTAAGAGGGGGGGGGGGGGGGTTTCTCATGGAAAAGGCAAATAATGAACAATTTTGTTTTTTTGCAATATTTTTTTTATTTTTTAAAATATCGGTCTAAATCTTTTTACATATTAAAATTAAAGTATTTTTAAAACAAAAAAAAATTTGTTTACATTTAAATTATTGAATTAAACGTTTGTTATAGTGCGATGAAGTTGACTCCAAAAAAGAAAAGCGTTTTGCGATAGACACGATTCCGACATTTTGAATTAGTGGAAATTAAAAAATCAAAAAGATTCTTAAAATATACATATGAGGTGACTTTCTAAACTAGGGGTTATACTGAAAATCAAAAAATAAAAAAAATGGTGGGCTTTTGAATCAAAAATTCGAAAAAAAGACGTTTTTTCGTAATTAAATCTAGCGGAGGGGGAGAGGGGGCGGGGGTTACTGATTCAATTCATCCTAGTTTAGTAACTGCGGAAAGGTTTACCAAACAATATGCAAAAAGATTTAAGGCAATATCTTTTTTCGTTTTTTCTGAAGCGTGTCTACTGTAAAAAAAAACATGATTTTGAGAAAAACACGTTTAAAGCCACGATAGCGCTATACGTTACAGTGGTTGCGCCACCCACTCTAACTGATCTATCTCGAAAATTATCACTTGGATCGACTTAAAATTTTAGGAGAGGCATTTTTGACATATTAAAGAGTAAATTTATACAAAAAAACAATAAAATCGATTTTTTCATGAGAAATCCCCCTTAATTAATTTTTGTCTTACTTTTTTAAATTTCTTTTTCAAAATCAATCAATTAATAATTCCTTGAAAAAAAAAATTATTACATTTTTCAAAAAAAAAAAAAAATTAATTGTGAATGGTCGAAATAGAAAATCGATTTGACTTGGAATGAATTGCTGAAACGACTTATCACCGCTTGCCTATTTCCTCCCACTAATTCGAAAGCAGCCTTTTATGTCTCATTAGGGATAAAGATAAGAACGGTTCCAGTGGATTAGGTGGAAGCTCAGAATCACCATGGCAAGTGAAAGCAAAAGCCACATCCATCATGTATGAGACTCAATTGAATTTTGTCGAATTCGTTGCTCTATTTCGATCCTTCAGTCTTCGTGCAAGAAAAGATCTTCGTGATCTTTTTGGACAATTGGCTATCACTTGTCGAAGTCAGAGTGATGGTTCTATAAGGGATGTTAATAATCTTCGTTCTTCCGTTCTACGTCAGACGAGTGACGCAACACCACAACGAATCGGTAATTTCTTTTTTTTATTTTAATTAAATTAACTGGGAAATCAAAAAAAAAAAATATATATATATATGGGCGATTCCACATGAGATTTACCTATGACCTTTTAAATTTATCTAAATATATTTTTTTCTTATTCTTTGCAGAAAAAAAGGTTTATGTATTTTTTTATTTTTTTATAAGTGCTCAAATTTTCGAGTTATGAATTTTTAAAAATCTGATTTTTTCAAGTTTTTTTGAAATACACCTAATTTCAATGACATGTCACGGTGCGCCAGAAGGAGGTTTAAATAAAAATGAATTGGCAGTTAAAAATTCTTTTTGATTATGGTTCTAAGATGAATAAAAAACTTTTCTCAATAGGTTTTAAAATCAGCTTACGTGCCCAATTTAAAACAAATTGAGTTTTAAATATTTAAAAATAGTATTTTATGAGGAACCAGAATTTATTTAATGTATACTTATATGCGTATAGATAATAGATGTTTTAGATTTGGGTTCATATAAATTTATAAACAATGAAGTTATTTTCTTGTTTCGTTTTTATATTTATGCATTAAGAGTGTCGAACGGTATCTGAAATTCTTTGGCAAGAAGAGAGCTTTAATTATCGCTCTGAACGTGAAATGGTATTGATTTTAAAATACTTTTTTCTCGAAACACGAACACTTTTAACAAAATCAGCCAAAATCCTCATCTTATAAATTTCCTAAATCCAAAAGACTGTACGAATCCATAGAAAAACATGGTTGCAAAACAAAAAGTAGAAAAGTAATCTAATAACAGCTGCGACTTTGTGCGCCCTGCATGCTGCTGCCATCTGACGGCGGCGGGAGGTAATGAACCCCTCATTATATTAATTTTCGTTTTGCAATCGTGTTTTTGTATGGATTCGTATAATCTTCAGGATTTAGGAAATTTATATAAGATAAGGATCTCTAGCTGCTTTTGTAAAAAGTGTTCGTCTTTCGAGAAGAAAGTATTTTAAAGTCAATGTTTATCATTTTCACGTTTAATGCCGTTTTTATAGAGCGATAATTAAAGGTCTCTTCTTGCCAAAAAATTTCAGAGATCATTCGACTCTCTTAAATAAATTTTGTCACTCTTAAAATCGTTCTTTTAACATTATAATTTAATTTTTTAAAATCGGACACAAACAACACTACAGCAATATAATTATTTATATGTAAAATTGAAAATAAGTAATTATTTTATTATTTATTACAGTATTTATTAGATTAAATAATTTCTGATTCTCCATAAAACACTGTTTTTATATAAAAACTCAATTTTATTTAAATCGGGCACGTAAACTGATTTTAAAAACTATTGAGAAATGTTTTTTATTCATCTAAGAATCATAATCAAAAAGAATTTTTAAGTGCCAATACAAAACAGTTTCAGTTTTTTATCGACTTTTAAAATATGTTAACGAAAAAAAAAATTTTTGAATTTGTTTATAAAAAACAGCTATTTTTCATAAACAAATTAAATTTTTTTTAAATTTAGGCGCGATTTTTTTTTTTTTTTTTTTTTTTTTTTAATTTTTACACACATGAAAATAAACAGAAAATTTTGTAATAAGTTTTGGAGTGGGCCTGATGAATCTTTTGTTTATATGTATAATTTGTTTTAAAAAAAAATTTTACTTTTTTTTAGTTTTTTTTTTTATTTTTCAAAATATAATGTATTTTAATTTGCTTTACTATGAGTTTACTGGTAGATACTAGTTTCAAAAACACTTTTCATTTTAAAAAAGAAAAAAAAAAGAAAAAAAAAATAAAATTTTTTTTTTAAACAAATCATATAAACAAAAGGATTATTAGGCCCACTCTAAAACTTATTACAAAATTTTCTCTTTATTTGCATGTGTGTAAAAATTAAAAAAAAATTTTTAAAAATTGCGCCTACATTTAAAAAAATTTAATTTGTTTATGAAAAATCGCTGTTTTTTATAAACAAATTCAAATTTTTTTTTTCGTTTACTTATTTTAAAAGTCGATAAAAAAGTGAAACTTTTTTGTATCTTAATCATAATAACTTGAAAAAATCGGATTTTTAAAAATTCATAACTCGAAAATTTGAGCACTTATAAGAAAATAAAAAAATACGGAAACCTGTTTTTTCCTACAAAGAGTAAGAAAAAAATATATTTAGACGAATTTAAAAGGTCATAGGTAAATCTCACGTGGAATCGCCCATATATATATATATATCTTCTCCCTTTTAAGTTTTAAATTAATATTTTATACACTGAAAACAAATTTATTTGATTCAAATAATAATATACTTTTGACTATTATTAAATAAATATTTACTCGAACTAAATAATTTTTACTTAAATTTTAAATAAACTTCATTTGGACAAATAATTTCTGTATTTAAAATAAATACCATTTAATTGATTTAAATAATAATTATTTGATACAAATAAATATTTATTTGATAATAGTCAAGTAATCGATTATTTGAATCAAATAATTTTTTTTTTCTCACTGTATTATATAAAAATGATCTTGGTTTTGATAATTTTTATTGAAGTATAAAATGACTAATTGTTACAAATAATAATTAATAAAAATTTGTATATTAGAATTATTGCTTATTGAAAGTTTTTACTCGAAAGTTGCTGAAATTGCTAACAATAATAATTACGAATCCGGAATGAAATTAAAGCAAATAAAAAATTTTTTATCTATAGAGAAAAAGCAGACATTTTTTGATATTAATGAAAATCTACTTTGGTAATTTTTACTAATGAACAAAATTAAATTTCCATCAAATGAAAAAAAAAATAATTTTTTTTTCTTTGTTTCGTAAACTATGAAAACATAATTAATATATATAAAACATATTATATGCTTCTATTTTTATATCAAATATATGAAGATTAATAGTTGTATGAGCGCATGCGTTCTGTTTATTCCTTTGAGTATTATTATGATATTATATTTGCATTATAAGGTGCCAACCAAAGCACGTTTCTGGAATAAGTAATTACGTCTCAGAAAAATCAATTCTCTTGTCTGTTTTCGTTCTACTGTCGACATTTTTTTTCCGTTATTTACTAAAAGACAAGAAAACTCAATTATTCATTTTTTTCATAAATTTATCTAAAAAAAAATTATTTGTAACAATTTTATTTTTTTTTTGCAATAAATAATAATAAATATTAATTTTTTTTAATGAATTTTTTTTTTTTAATTAAAATTTAATTATCTATCTATTAATTTGAATTTAGATTAATTAAGATTGATTGATATTATGTGAAATAGATTAATTTTATAGTTAAATAGATCAATTTATAGTTAAGTAGATGAATTTAATTTAATGACAATGGAAACTCATTATTTAGGTCTATTAACGAGGAACAACTCCATCGACTGCCATGAGTACAAATCACACAGTAACCTTCACAAAAAGCAGATACTTGACGCTGTTGCAGCGGCTAGTATTGTTAATAATTGTTCTGGAGTCGATACATCTAAATCACAAGTGATAACACTCGCAACTTTTACTAAATTTTTAGAATCCAGACAACAAGAAAAACTCACGGACGATGATATTAAAAATCTCATCAAGGTATGCATTTTTCTCGAAAATTTGGATTTTTTTTTTTTTTTTTTGATTAGTTTCAGCTTAAGGGGGGCGCCTACTTTATAGAAAATTAAAAAAAAATGTGTAAATTTCAGGAATTTTTTTTTCTCAAACGCATTGAAATAAATTGATACGAGTTTTTGTGGATGTTATCTTATATATTTCAACCTTCGAAATATAATTTTTTTTTATTGGAAAAAAATAAAATTTAATAATAAAATAAACGTTCTATACTCGCAGCTGAAATTTTTCCATTGCGTCAAATCTAGGGTCCACAATTCTTATCAAAAACAAAATTTTTTTTTCATTAGTACATTAGTGCCTTCTGTATGAATACAATTTTTTGTTTTTAAATTCGAATTTAACATTTTGGTTTAAGAAAAAGTAATTTTTTTTTTTTTTGTCGAAAGTTAAATTTATTTATTTAAAGTCATGTAAAATTTTTAATTTTCACTTTCTATCGAAATCATTTAATTCATACTGAAGGCAATAATGTACGATCGAAGAAAAAATTTTGTTTCTTTGTTTTTGATAAGAATTGTGGACCCTAGATTTTTTGATCTTCTAAAGTAGGCGGTCCCTTAAAAATCAAATATTAAAAAAAAAACTTATTTTTAATTCTAATTAATTAAATCTAATTAATTTCGTAATTTAATTAAGTGATATATTTATTATTATATCCCTGACGAAAGTTTCAATTTTTAAAACTTTAACACAAAAAAAAGGTTATGGTAAGTTCAAATAGAAAAAATTAAACTACTTTTAATTGTTTAAATTAGAGGAAGTGTGTCTAAAATGTCCAGTTAGATAATCTGGCTTTAATACAATCGATTAATTTCTTATCAGAAATGATTGTTCAGTGTAATTGTTAATAAAAATTGTTTTAAAACATAAGCAAATTTATCGAAAAACGACTTTTTCATAAAAAAAAATGTTCAATCATAATAATCAAATGCAAATTTAATAAAAAATTTTTTTTATTTGACCACAAACACCCTTATGCAGGCATTTATTATATAATTTGTTTTTAACAATATTTAAGGGCAAAATTTTTTTTCCATCGTTATTTTATTCTAAAATATTATTATTTAGATAAAAAAAATTATAACAACATGAAAGTGTCCGTTTTAGTCACATTTGTCATATTTATTTGTAAATTTGAATTGAACCAGTATGAAGTGAAGTCATTTAGTACCTGAAATTTCTAACAGATGGCGTCAGACTCACCAAATTCAGAGCTGAGAAAACAAAATACGTTAAAACAAATACGTTAAATAATATTACTATGCAATTTTTATATTCAGGTATAGAAGGACAACTAATACAATAGGGTGTTATAAATGGTTTATTATGACTAGACTTTCAGTCAACTCTATTGTTTTTATGTCCCTTTCTCTTATTATTTTTCTTTTGAATATTTAATATTTTAATATAATATTTTAACAAAAATTAACTATTAAACCACAATTATGAAATTCGAAAATTCTTTTTTTTATTTATTTATTTAAGGTCGAAAATTTAATATTTTAATTTAATATTTCAACACAAATTGTGCTCCCTGCATGCTTCTGCCATCTGACGGCGACAGGACGTAACGAAACATAAACAAATATTTCAAGTAATTTTACTACTTAATTTCAATATTCAGGTATAGGAGTACAATTAATACAATAGGGTGTCATAAATGGTTTATTATGACTAGACTGCCAGTCGACTCTATTGTTGTTATCTCTCCATATTTTTCTTTTGGAATATTTAATATTTTAATTTAATATTTTAATACAAATTAACTTTTAGACCACAAAATAAAAGTTTGTACCCTTCAAAATTGTTTTAAATAAATTATACTGGGTGATTTTTATGTTCCGGACCCCCTAAAACAATTTTTTTAATCTTATTTTTTTAGTTTTTTTAAAAAAATAAAGTGGAATTAAAAAAAAATGTTTCGGGGGTCCGGAACATAAAAATTTTGCAATTTAAGGCTGTTTGTAGTCAATTAAAAAAAATTTGTTAAATATATTTGTATTTAATTATTGCGATTGAACCTTCTTTTTTATTAAAAAAGATTTTTTTCAATAAATTTTTTTAATTTTTTAAAGCAATCTTTATAAACAAAAATACACAGTAGGATCATTTTTGATAAAAAATTAATCGAATTTTTATAATTAATATTAAATTTAAGCCGCTATTATGAAAAAAATTTTTTTGCAATTAACTTTATCATTTTTATAAACAAATTTTATAAACAATTACACTTTACAGCTATTTGTGATCAAAAAATTTATTTTTTTTTTATAAATTTGCTTGGGATTTTTGCGCTTAAGTTTCCTTTTTATTAAACAATTGTTTTGCGATGAATTTCCTTATATTTTTAAATAATTTATATATAAACAAATTCAATGTACCGCAGTTTTTGGTCAGAAATTAATTGAATTTTTAATTTGATCTGCTTTTAACAAAAAAATGTTAATTTATTAAATTTAACAGCTTTTATTTAAACATAACTTATATACTTTTTAGAAATAATTGATGTTTAATGTAATTACTAATTCATTAATTTTTAATATTAAAATTGCTGTTTGTAATATAATAATAGCTGCGATTTTGTGCTCCCTGATTGCTTCTGCCATCTGACGGCGGAAGGACGTAACGAAACATAAACAATACTTCAAGTAATATTACTATATTATAATTTTAATATTCAGGTACAGAAGGGCAACTAATACAATAGGATGTCATAAATGGTTTATTATGACTAGACTTCCAGTCGACTCTATTGTTTTTATGTCCCTTTTTCTCATTATTTTTCTTTTGGAATATTTTAATTTAATATTTTAACAAAAATTAACTTTTAGACCACAATTATAAATCAAATTCAAAAATTCTTCTTTCCTCTAACTCAGAACTAAATAAATTGTAAACAAATTGAAAATTTTCCTTCTTCTTAAATTCGATTAATTTTTAATCAAAAATTGCAGTACAGAGTATTTGTTTATATAAATTGTTTAAAAATCTAAGTAAATTTATCGCAAAATAATTGTTTAATGAAAAGGAAATTCGCGCACAAAAATCCAAAGTAAATTTAAAAAAAAAAAATTTTTTTGACCTCAAATAGCCGTAAAGTTTATTTGTTTATAGTTTCGAAAAATGATAAAGTTAATTGCAAAAAAATTAATATTAACGGTAAAAAATTCGATTAATTTGTGATCAAAAATGACCGTACATTGTATTTTTTTTTTTTATAAAAATTTTTAAAAAAGATAAGAAAATTTTATCGAAAAACAACTTTTTTGAAAAAAAAAACTTTAATCGAAATAAATCAAAAGCAAAGGACCCCGCACTTTTTACATTGAAAATGGCTTTCAGCCAAATCTTTTGAAACTCTGTAGTTTTGTAGTTTAAGGCTTCCTGAACAAAAAATTCTTATGCCAAAATTCAATCCTATGAGTAGTTTTTTAGCTACAGCACTTTAAAGTTAAAAAATAATGTACCCGTGTGGAAAAAGCCACGATCTTGCCCTCAAGAGTTCGGGGCCCCCGGCGGGGGCCCATGAGGGCTGATCCATATGGCGAATCCATGAGGGCCACCGTAGGGGCCCGCATGGATCGCCCTCATGATCGATTAGCAAAATTTTCTAAGTCCAAAAATCAAATATTTTTTTATCAACAAAAAATGAATGTTTTCAATGATTCAAAACAACGAAAAACGCGTTTTTAATAAAAATATATTTACACTTTTTTTGAAAATTCACCTGAGATGATTCATGATAATAATCATAAAGCATATAATTAATTATATTTTATAAATTGCATTTGATTGGAAAATATAATTTAATATCTTAACTTTAACTAAATGATGTTAAGCACTTTTCTTTGTTAGGTATTTTTGAAGTTTAAATAGCATCAAGAAGTTAGCATTCGTTTTGAAGTAGCGTGCGTAGCGTAGTTGGTAAAGCGTTAGACTCATAGTCCGTAGGTCGTAGGTTCGATTCCCCCCATGCGTTAGATTTATTTATTTCTCAGGTTTGCGTTTAATCATTAATTCTATGTATGAATTAATTGAAAAATGAAAATATCCGTTAATAGTATGCATAAATTACATATTTTTTAATTTTTTAATTAATTAATTTATTATTACTTTTAATTATATCCGACAGTTAATTAATTAGAACGTTAATTAATAAATTCAATTTGAGTAAGAATTTAATTTAAAATTGAATAATTATTAAATAAATATGTTATTTATTCATAACTTAAGCTTATTTATTATTAATTAACTTTTATTATTAATATTATTGATTAAAAAACATTATGGCAAACTTGAGGGCAAGATGAGGGCAAACGTGAGGGCCCATAAGGGCGCCCGTAGGGGCACCCTCATGGATCGCCCATGCGGGCGCCCTCATCGATGAGCATGTCGTTTCCATGAGGGGCCCCTATGAATCATCCATATGCGGCCCTCATGGCATGAGGGCGATCCATAAGGGCCCCCGCTGGGGGCCCACATCACTTTTCCACACGGGTATTTATAAATGTTTTCTTTTTCACAAATGAATCAAAATCGCTCAAAATCATTACTCGGAGGTTTTCGGGGTCGCTGAGTACGAATCTGTGCTCAGAATTTCGGAATTCAAAATGGCGGATCCAATATGGCGGACGCGCTTTCGAAAAATCACTTGAATTCACTTCAAAATCATTACTCGGGGGTTTTTGGGGTCGCTGAGTACGAATCTACGTCCGCCATATTGGATCCGCCATTTTGAATTCTAAAATTCTGAGCATAGATTCGTACTCAGCGACCTCGAAAACCCCCAATTAACAGATTTTGAGCGATTTTGATTCATTTGTGAAAAAGAAAACATTCATAAATACATTATTTTTACGTTATTATTTTTTAACTTTAAAGTGCTGTAGCTAAACAACTACTTATAGGATTGAATTTTAGCATAAGGATTTTTTGTTCAGGAAGCCTTAAACTACAAAACTATAGAGTTTCAAAAGATTTGGCTGAAAGCCATTTTCAATGTAAAAAGTGCGGGGTCCTTTACTTTAAAAAAATTTTTTTTTTGTTATTTGACCACAAATAGCCTTAAACTGCAATTGTTTATATTTAAATATAAAAACTTTTTTTTTTACGTGATTTAGCAATATTAATGGATATATAAGTTATAAACAAGTTTATAAAGTTTTATTTTATTTACGCGACATTTCTGTTGAGGACGAATTAATCATTGTTAACTCAAGACATTCTCCGTGGGATTGAGAAGTTAATCAGTATTGTGTTCTCATTTCAGAGGCACGAACCAGACCCGGTCCTTCGCACACAGTGGTGTTTATCTTTCGAAGGTTTCGCTCGGTACATGATGGACAAAGACAATTACGCCTTCCCCAACGAGTATGCGACGCCCTCGGAAACTGAAATGCAACAACCTCTTTCTCAGTATTATATAGCAAGTTCGCACAACACATATTTAACAGGCCATCAACTTAAAGGCGAATCTTCTGTTCAATTATATTCACAGGTGAGTTTTTTCATTAAAACAATTTTAAAGTTTATAAATAAAATTAAAAGGGTGATTTTTATGTTTTGCACCCCAGGTCAAAAAAATATTTTTTTTAACCCCTTTGCAGTCGTTTGTGGGCCCAAAACGGTTCAAAAAAAAAGTTCCAAAAAAATATATCATATCATCGTATTAAAAGCTTTAAAGATCGCTGAATCCAAATTTGGGGTCAGATTTAAAAAATTCAACATGGCGGACCCAATATGGCGGAAAATTTTAAAATTGATTCGATTTGTTCAAAATTCGGTACTTGGGGGTTTTTGGGGTCGCTAGATCCAAATTTGATGTAGTTATTAAAATATTCGAAATGTATGATGGGGTTTGTGGTCCCTGAATTCAAATTTGAGGTCAAATTCAAAACGGCGGACCTTATTTGGCAAAAAATTTTAAAATTGATTCGATTCATTCGAAATTTGGTACTCGGGGGTTTTTGGGTCGCTAGATACAAATTTGAGGGCAAATTTAAAAAATTCAAAATGGATCAGACATTTCGAATTTTTCAAAAACTACATAAAATTTGATTTAGCGACCCCAAAAACCCCCAAGTACCGAATTTTGAACGAATCGAATCAATTTAAAATTTTTCCGCCATATTGGGTTCGCCATTTTGAATTTTTTAAATCTGACCTCAAATTTGAATTCAGCGACCCCAAAAACTCTAAAGGAACCATTTTCATGTAAATCTGGTCAATTTTTAAATTTTTCGGACGCATCATTTGGGTCCTAATAACATACAGGATGCTAAAAAAAATAAAATTTTAATTTTTGACCATTTTAGAAATTACTTAAAACAATTAATATTTTAAATATTTATCTACTTTCACAATTTTGACTATTTTTTTTCACGCTTTTTTAATGATTCTTTAGAATCTCTCGCATGGATTTTCAAAAATTTTAATTTAAAAAAAAAATTCTAAAATGGTCAAAAATTAAAATTTTTTGTTTTTTGACAACCTTATATTTTTTTTTAGAACCCAAATGATGCAAGAAAAAATATGTAACCTCGTTTAATAATTTAAATTTAAATGGATGAAAATAAAGATGGTGACTACCCTTTACATTAAAATTTTATATTAAAATTCATTTTTATTTAATATTATTTCTTTTTAGTACCACATTTTTCGAAGCAATAAACAATCAATTCTTAACAAGTAGAAAAATTTTGAAAAGTTAATAAAGAAAGCTAACAAAGCAAATAATTATTGGAAAGATTCCTCTAATTTGATTTGCAAAAGCAACAAACATTTTTAAAAAAATAAAAGATGTTGAGATTTATATTTAATAAGAAATAAAATAAATAAAAATAAGAAAAACGACAGTTCTCTAAAATTTCTCACAATAACTGTTTTGTAATGAAGAAATAACACTTCCAGAGTGGTGTGAAAAAGTCATTTAGATTTTATACTAAAATTATTGAACCATTTTATTAGCCATTTTAGAATATAAAATCCACTCAATGTTATGTAATATTTCTTTAATTTTATATCAATATTTTTTTATTTAACAAAACATACTTTGTGTTTTTATGTCAGAAAATTAATTAAAAATCACAAAAGCAAAGTTAAATTCAAGTATAGTATAGAAGAGATTTCAAGTTGACATAGAAGCTTTATTGCGTCGCAAAAAAAAAAATTATTAAATTTCTCGTGGGATTTTGCGTAGGCGACTAAAAAAAATTGTCGCAAATTTTTATTTGGTTTAGTAAATAGGTATATAAAAAACTTTTAAATTGTATAAAGTGTACAAAAAGAGCTACATCAAGTTTATAGTTTAATTTTCTCATATTAGATGAACATTCACTTTTTCGAAATTCTTTTTTTTTTGGTTCACTTTTAGAAAAATTCTACTGCAATTTTTTTAGGTAATTTTTTTAAATATTTTTTTTTTTTTTTCATTAACGTACATTTAGATGGTGATAATAACTTTTGTGTCATTTAATTTTTATAAAAATACTTTACTTTAAAAGCTAAGCTTTTTTTCCTATAAAATATGTTTTTTTTTTGTTATTACATTTTTAAAAAAAGAGTAATCTAAAGAGTTTAATCTGAATTTAAAATAACTTGTATATATTAATTTTTATTTAGCAATTTATATTTGTCTAATTTCTGTGTTTGCAAACGACCACTACACTTAAATTTTCATGTTATCAAAATTTTATTACCCATAATTTTTATGTCACCGAAATTTTATTAGCCATATACTTTTTATATTTCTGAAATGTTATTGACCCTAATTTTTTTATACTTTCAAAATTTAATTAACTCTAATTTTTTGTATTCAATTTTTTATTAATCCTATCATTTATTTTTTTTTTAATTGAAAATCAATAATAATTATATGTATAATCAAACAAAGTTGTTAAATTAAATTTTAAATCTAAGAGATAAATATTTAATTTAAATTAATAGAATCAGAATTATGTACTTAAATATGATTCAGTTTATCTAAACTTGTTAATTTTCAATTATATAAAAAAGGGTTCTTCCAGATTACCCACGCAATTATTCTCTTTGAAAACGAGCTGCGAATATAAAATTAATTTAAAAACTATCTCTAAGGTTTACTGGGATCAAAGTTACTAATGAATTATTTTAAATAAACTTAATTTACTAAGATTAAAATAAAAATATATTTTAATTACGAATTTTTCTTTTTGTTGCAATAGAAAGGTGTGAATATTAAAAATAAATTAGAAATGTGATTAAAAATAGGGGAATAAGAATATTCCACAATCTTTCGTTGACATACATATTATTAATGTATTTAAAATAACTTACTTTGAAATTCATAATTAACGATAATTCTACTTTGAATCTACATAGGACATAGAATTAAAATAATACTAATTTCGACCTACAATGAATCTACTTTAAATTTAACATAATCCTAATTTCAACCTATAATGAACCTACTTTTAAACTTCATTAAATCTACATTGAACCTACTTTAACCCTACATTACATTTACATAGATCTCAATTAAACCTATATTGGTCCTTTAATGAAACTACTTTTAACCTACATTGACCCTATATTGCATCTACATTTAAACTACTTTTACTCTACATTAAAGATACTTGTAACCTACGTTGATCCTATTTTAGATCTACATTATACCTACTTTAACCATACATTAAAACTACATTGCACCTACCCAGACCTACATTGAACCTATATTAGACCTTTATTAAAACTACTTTTAAGCTACATTGACCCTATATTGCATCTACATTTAAGCTACTTTAACTCTACATTGAAGTTAATTTTAATTTACATTGATCCTATCTTAGATTTACATTAAACCTACTTTAACCCTACATTGAACCTACATTATCCCTACATTACATTTACCTAGATCTCAATTGAACCTACATTGGTCCTTCATTGAAAATACTTTTAACCTACATTGACTCTATATTGCATCTACATTTAAACTACTTTACTCTACATTAAATCTACTTGTAACCTACGTTGATAATATCTTAGAACTACATTAAACCTACTTTAACCCTATATTAAAACTACATTGCACCTACCCAAATCTCCATTAAACTTACATTGGACCTTTGTTGAAACTACTTTTAACCTACATTGACCCTATATTGCATCTACATTTAAACTACTTTAACTCTACATTTAAGATACTTGTAACCTACGTTGATCCTATCTTAGATCTACATTAGACCTACTTTAACCATACGTTAAAACTACATTGCACCTACCCAGAAAAACATTGAACGTACATTAGACCTTTATTAAAACTATTTTTAACCTAAATTTACCATATATTGCATCTATTTTTAAACTGCTTTAACTCTATATTGAATTGAAGCTATTTTTATCGTACGTCGACCCTATATTGTACCTACATTGAACCTACTTTAACTCTACATTGAACCTACTTTAACCCTACATTACATTTACCTAGATCTCAATTGATCCTACATTGGTCCTTCATTTAAAATACTTTTAACCTACATTGACTCTATATTGCATCTACATTTAAACTACTTTTACTCTACATTGAATCTACTTGTAACCTACGTTGATAATATCTTAGAACTACATTAAACCTACTTTAACTCTACATTAAACTACATTGCACCTACCCAAAGCTCCATTAAACCTACATTGGACCTTTGTTGAAACGACTTTTAAGCTACATTTACCCTATATTGCATCTACATTTAAACTATTTTAACTCTACATTGAAGCTACTTTTAATTTACGTTGATCCTATCTTAGATCTACATTAAACCTACTTTAACCCTACATTAAAACTAAATTGAATCTATTTTGAACCTACTTTACACCTATATTGACCCTACATTGCAACTACTTTAAAACTACACGGAGACTAAATTAAACTTAGTTTACTTTAAAATTAAAAGTGCATTGAACATTTTTGAAATCTTTATTGATACAACATTGTACATTTTTTTTGACCTACTTTGAATTACATTGAACATAAATTTGATCTACACTGAATCTACTTTGACCCTACTTTAAAACTATATTGAACATATATTTCATTTACACTGACCCTGCTTAACCTACGTTGACCCTATATTGCATCTACATTGATTTTATTTAAAATCTATATATAGAGCCTACATTTAACCTGCTTTAAACCTTTAAACTTTAAACCTTGCGTTAATCCTACATTGATCCTTCTTTGAGCTTACTTCGAAACTACATTAAATAGATATTGGATCTTCTTTGAACCTTCTTTGAATCTATTTTGAACCTTCTTTGAATCTATTTTGAACCTTCTTTGAATCTATTTTGAACCTATATGAAGCCTATCTTAAATCTACTTTAAAACTAAATAAAACTTACATTGAACCTTCTTGAACCCTAAATTGATTTTCATAAAAATGGTTCCTTTAGGATTTTTGGGATCGCTAAATCCAAATTTGAGATCAGATTTAAAAAATTCAAAATGTCGGACCCAATATGGCGGAAAAATTAAAAATTTATTCGATTTGTTCAAAATTCGGTACTCGAGGGTTTTTGGAGTTGCTGAATCAAAATTTGATGTCAGATTAAAAAAATTCAAAATGGCGCACCCAATATGGCAGAAAAATTTTTTAATTGATTTGATTCGTTCAAAATTCGGTACTCGGGGGTTTTTGGGGTCGCTGAATCCAAATTTGAGGTCAGATTTAGATTCAGCGACCCAAAAAACTCCCCTAAGTACCGAATTTTGAACGAATCGAATCAATTTAAATTTTTCCGCCATATTGGGTTCGCCATTTTGAATTTTTTAAATCTGACCTCGAATTTGGATTCAGCGACCCCAAAAACCTTTAATATGATGATATAAAATTTTTTTAGAAACTTTTTTTTTGACCGTTTTGAGCCCACAAATGATTTGTCTACTCGACTGCGAAGGGGTTAATACCGAGAAAAATATTTTCTTCAATTTTAAAGAAAAATTATTTGATTGAAAGGAAATTTTCATATTCTATAAATTAAACTTTGATATTGAAAAAGTATTCCTGTAAATTAAACAATTTTTTTAAATCAAATAAATTTTCTTTAAAATTAAAAAAAAAACTTTTCTTTGACTATATCAAAGAAATACTTTTTTAATTCATAGAAACACTTATTTGCTTTAAAGAAACATTTTTCTGGATGAATATTTGTTGAATCTATTTTGAATTAAATTGAGCCCTTATTACTCCTACATTGAAACTACTTTAAACCTACATGAACCTATTTTCACTCTACTTTAAAACTTCATTGAACCTATTTTAAACCTACATTGAATCTACTTTTCCTGAACAATGTACGCTGGACAAAAACCAAAAGTTCGGACTTGGTCCACGAAACCCTAAAAATTGATCATTTACTATCGAAATATCACTTCAAATTCCTATTAAATAGGTATATTTGAGACAAGAAGAATCTTATTTCAATAATCATTTATAAATTGAGACGTCGATTTCAAAATAGAAAAAAAAAAGATTAAGAGAAAAATGCGAAAAAATGTGAAAAATTTTTTCCAAAGGTTTTTGAAATGATTCACATATATCTAAAAGCAATTACTATTCGTAGGTTCTGCAGACCGGATGTCGGTGCGTGGAATTGGACTGCTGGGATGGAGACGACGGTTCTCCACTCATTTATCATGGTCATACCTTTACTACAAAAATTCCTTTTCGTTCAGTAGTGGAAGCGATAGATAGGAGTGCCTTTGTTAGCTCACCCTACCCTGTGATTCTCTCCATTGAAAATCACTGCTCTCAAAGCCAGCAAGCTCGGATGGCTCAAGTATTTCAAGTATGTGTAAATAATTTTATTGATCATCTTTATCATTTTTATTTTCTATATAACTTATACGTCTACATACATATATATATTCGTCTGTTCTTTCTTTAATGTCAATTTTTATTCTCTTTCAAAAAAACTATAATGGAAAATCGAATTGTCAAAGAAAAAATTAATTATTGGGTCAGAATTTCTCAAACGGATCACCTAAAAGTCAGAAATTTTTTATTAGTCTCATTTTTTTCTCAACGGTTTCTTACACAAAATTGTGTGGGGAATTCAAAAAAAAAATTTTAATTTTCTGTAGGACGTCAAGAACACTATTTTTTAATAACATTTTATAAATAAATAATATAAAAATCTGTTAAATATGAAATTTTTTCAAAATAAAAATTATATTTAGAAACTACATTTTAAGACGATAAAAACCCTTTTTTTTAATTGGTGAACAGGAACTCGAGAAAAAATTTTTTTAAAATAAGACCGTAAAAAATTTCAATTGTTTATAACTTTAACAAAAAATTTTTTTTTGACCTAAAAATTTCAGGGACTTATTTTTACCATGTAAGAAGTCAAAAGAAATGATTTTTGATTAAAAAAAAAAAATTTCTGAATTTTAGGTGATCCGTTTGAGAAATTCTGACCCTATTAACAGTTTTTTTTTCTTTAGAATGATGAAATTTATAGAATAATGAAAAAAATTTATTTGATTCAAAATAATCGGTTATTTGAGTTATTTGATTATTATCAAATAAATATTTACTTGAACCAAATATATTAATCAATCTTTTACGTCCAAGCTATATTTTAATTAGCTAGGTTATATAATAACGATAACATTCGGACAAGAAGGTCATTTAATTCATTTTATTTTCTTCGACGTTTCGAAATTGAAATGATTTCAGACTTCGAAGTGACACACTTTTTTTTTTTTTTACTTTTTTGATACTTTTTTTCGACAAGGCTACTTTTTTACTACTAATTTTGGCCAAAAGCCACTAAATGCTACCTACTTTTTACAAAAAATAATTTTAAAAATGATAGAATTCAAGAATTTTAAATTTTAGCGAATTTTTTATTTCTAAAAGCTCGACAAGTTGATGATTTATTATTATTGGCCGCGTGAACTACTGCTTTATATATAATTATTTTTTACACAAATTTTTATTTTTCAAAATATCATTTAACATAATTTCTTTTTAAACGACCTTTTACTTAATAGAATTTTTAATTTATCAATTTTTTTTAACAGAATTTTTATTTTATCAAATTTTTTTTGACATAATTTTTATTTTACAAAATTTCTCTTTACCCGACTGTTTTTTTTAAATAATTCTAATTTAACCGAAATTTAGACAATAATTGAATTTTAGAGTATTTTGAATTGAAAAATGTTTTAAATAATTGAAATGACAAGATTTTGATTAAAGTTATTAGAAGTAATTATTTCAACAAAAAATTTGACTCAAAATTTTTAATAATAATTGAATTTCAGGAGATTTTGAATTAAAATTTTAGTAAATTAGAATTGTTGAAAATTATTAACAAGGTTTGACCCCAAGTAGGGACATAATTTTTGATGTCATTTATTCTTATTTTTTGGTAAGATTTTTTTTTTATTTTTATTGTTTTTATTTTTATCATTCTCTCGATTAGATTTATATATTATAATTTTTTATATATTGATAGACTCCCTGAAGAGGAAATTATTTCGATTTCGAAACGTTGAAGAAAATAAATTGAATTGAATGAACTTCTTGAATTATATTTGAAGTAATAATTTCTGTATTTAAAACAAATACCATTTAATTGACTAAAATAATAATTATTTGTTAAAAATAAATATTTATTTGATAATATTCAAGTAACCGATTATTTGAATTAAATAATTTTTTTTTTTTCAGTGTAAGAATGGTAAAACTTTGTTATAAATAGAAATCGTCTAGATTTTTTAAATCTATTATATTTTATCTCTAAAAAAAAGTAATAAATTGTTAAAGTTCTCTTTTAAAGGATTTTTTTTTCTTTTATTGCTGAAAAAAAGAAATCACATTCATTTCTAATGGTTTATGCCAGAATTTTAACAAAAGTTTCTTTTGATCAATTTATCAAATTTACGTTCAACTTGGCGTAAAATCTTTTTTAAAAAAAAAATTTAATTGCATTCGATTTTTTCATATAAAAAGTTGAAATATTTTAATCAATTGTACTTGAAAAATAATGAATTTCTATTATAAAAAAATTGATGAGTTTGGATTTTAATATGTTTTATTATTATTTATATGAAAAAAGTTTTTTTTACCAAAAGTTTTATAGCGTACTAAAGTTAGATTTCACAATTTTTTATTTTATGCATTTTTATTTTATACTTTATGTGTATATGATGAGAGAGTGGAAATCTGCATAGAACAGATATACGTGACACTATTCATTTTATTTTTCTCTTGAAAATTATGTTTTTCAAAAATTCGATTTTCATACTAAACTAAAAGTGATAAAACTATAGTTTTATATATATATATATATTTTTTATTTTATTTCAATAAAAATATCTCCTATATTTTATTTTTTTCAAGAGCTTTAAAAATAATTTAAAAAAACATGTAAATATTATAGAAAGTTAAAAAAAAATTGATTAAATACCATGCTTAGGGAAAAATTTTCCAGGGCCTTATCTGTTTTCATTTAAATTTCCCTTTTTTTGTGAGATTATTTTTATTTTAAATAAATTAGTTTTTCTAATTTTTTTTTATCTTATATTCTGTATGAGATTATAAAGCAGTAGAATAATTTTGAAAAATCTCGCATGTATAGGGGATTGAACCCAGGACCCTTGGAACGCAATCCATGTACTCTGATCTCACAGCTACGCGTTGATTTACAGATCTTTTATCTAACACTTTTTCTTTATTATTAAAATTGAACTACATTCTGTATGAAATAACAACATTATTTAAATAATTTTATACCTAATAATAGTTTATAATCCTTTTAAATAATTTATCAGGTTGTAAATTTTTTTTTAAATTTGTCGCCCCTAAACCAAACCAATTATGTTTGGTTTCAATTTTATCAATTATTCCTTAAAAATTCAACTTCTTCCACAATTTTTATTATTTTTTATCGGAAATTTTTTTTAGGTTTTTTTTTTCATGATTCTGAACAATTTTTAAAAATTTTTAATTTTCAAAAAATAAAATTTCTAAAATGGTCAAAAATTTTTTTTTTAATTTTGATAATTCACAATGATTTTAAATTCCAAATAATGTCAGAAAAAAAAATTTACTTAACAACATTAATTTCGATGAGTTGAAATTTCACCGGTACTTTCTCTTAAATTTTTTGTAAACTAGGAAAACTGGTGAGGCCCTAATCCAATGCCCTTTTTTTCAATCTAGTGAAATATTTGTGAATTCACCCGGGAATTTTGGTTAAATCGCTATAATAAAAAAAAAAATTAAAGTCTTTTTATTTACATTTTTTTTCAAACGGGGAAAACTGTCGAGACCCTGATCAATGCCCCATTTTAAATAGAAGTAAAGTGAGAAAATTGCAGTGCACGGGATTAAATAAATTTAATTGAAAAAATTTTTAAGAGAAACTATAAAATTTTTGTTAAACATTTTTTTTTTTAAAGAGAGAAATATCATTGAGTAAAAAAAATTTTTGTCACGATTTTAGTGAAAATTTCCGAAAAAAAACAGGTTCCTTTAGGGGGTGAAAAGATATTTCTCTCTTGAGAATATATTTTGGAATGGTTCCAGAGAAAAAATTGAGCCAGATGTAAAGCTTTTTTTTTGTGATACGTGAGTGAAATTTTTAACTACTGCTGTTAAAAAATTCATGTAAAAATATTATCTAAAAAAAAATAAACAGATAGAACATGATAGATACATGATAACACATAGAACATGATTTTGACATTTGAAACTTTCAAATTTTGAAATTAATAATACATATAGGAGGCAAAGTATTTTGGTTCAGTTTTAGTTAAATAACAATAAAAAATGAAATATTTTACAAATAAATAAAGTTATGATAATTCTGAACTTACCAATTGAAAGTTAAGGTAATTCCGCATCCAACGAGCCCTATATGAAGTATTTTGGATAAGCAGATTGTTAATAAACAATTGCAATATTAACTAATTGTTTAATAATAATCTACGTATCCAAAATACTTCATATAGGGCTCGTTGGATGCGGAATTACCTTAACTTTCAATTGCTATTTTCAGAATTACGGTAACTTAATTTGTTTGTAAAATATTTCATTTTTTTAAAACATTAATTAATTAACCCCTTGGGTGTCGATGACGTGTATACATGTCATGGATTAGGTGGGCTCAAAGTGTCGATGATGTGTATACACGCACATAAATTTTGAGCCCAATAATAAGACGGAATTGGCCTAAAATTTGTTACTCGGGGGTTTTCGGGGTCGCTGCTTCCGAATTTGATGTCAGATTTACAAAATTCAAAATGGCGGATCCAATATGGCGACCAAAAATTTTAAAAATTGACCATATTCGCTTAAAACTCGTTACTCGGGGGTTTTTGAGGTCGCTGATTCCAAATTTGATGTCAGAATTACAAAATTTCAAAATTCAAAATGGATACAATAATAAATACACCCATACTATGCTATTTTGAATTTTCAAAATCTGACTTGAATATCGTAAACAGCGACGTTCAAAACCCCTGAGTAACAGATTTTAAGTAATTTTAATTAATTTTTAAATTTTTAGAAAATTATCTGCCACATTGGTAACGCCATTTCAAATTTTTGAAATCTGACTACAGATTCGCAATCAGCGACCCTCAAAAGCCCTGAGTAACAATTTTTAAATCATTTTTGCCATTTTTTGAAAAATCGTCCGCCATATTGGCTCCGCCATTTTGAATTTTTAAAATCTGACTTTGGAATCGTAATCAGCGACCTTAAATACCATAGTATACACATTTGCACAAATTTTGGTCATTCAAAAATTTACTGACATTTTGGGCCCACTTATGAGATTTTGGTCTCGACTGCGAAGGAGTTAATTAATATCTCAAAAACTTTAAAAGATCCCATTGAGATAGTTAAAAAAAATTAAAAAAAAATCCGATTTTGAGATATACGTAAATTAACATTTTTACCTTGAATTTCAAGGTCAAATTTTATTTAAAAAAAAAAATTTTTTATCACCATCGTGTAGCCCGTCAAAAAAGCTTTAAAATCATTATATATATATTTACTTTTATGCATTCTACTTATAAATATTGTACATTGAAAAAAATTCGTTTTTTTAAAAGTCAAAAAATTAAAAACGTTGTAATTCAGAAACTATTTTATCAAATTCAATAATAATTGATTTTTAGACTTTCACCAACAATGACAACATTTTAGAAAAGTATGGATTAAATTCGAGAGCTTTTAATTTTTTGTTCGGACATTTCAGAAATTTTGCCTCATAGGTATATATATACATACAATATCAAAATCGCGTCTTTACGACTAATACCATAGCCTTGATGTTTGTTATATAGAGCTTAGAGCATGAATTCTACACATTCATGGACACATTTAAACATTATATCTGACTATTAACCGCTTTAGGGATCTCATATTATTCAGTTATATAGATTTCATGATATAAACTATCATGAAATAATATTAAAATAACAATAAAATTTTAGAATTATTTCCATTCACTTAATTATTTTTCTTTATATTATTGAAATTGTATAACTTATTTTAAAGAGAAATAATATTTTCATATTTATTTTATACTTAAACTTTGTTAACTATTTCACTTTATGTTCTTGTTTCTTTTTTTTTAATTTTTTTTTTAATGTTTGTTTCATTTTATATTTTTAAAATAGTAATTAAATTTCTCCAACCGAAAGAGCGAATAAAATGTTTTGTGTATTTTTACTTTGAAAAATATTCGTATACACACAGTTAACAAGTTTAATGACTTTGACGTGAATGGAAATTAACTTGAAATATAAAATTGATTGTGTATGAGAGTAGAAAATTAATTAATTTAATTTAATGGTTTAAATATACATAATTAATTTTTTTTTATAATGATTGTGTTTTTTTTTTTTTTATTTTCAGCAAGTATTTGGGGAGAAACTCATCAATAAATTTCTATACGAGTCGGATTTTGGTGAAGATCCTCAATTACCATCTCCCTCGCAACTTCGATATCGTATTCTTATCAAGAACAAAAAAATGGTCGTCGACCCTTCAGGATCGTTAGTTCATGCACCATTGGGCCACAGAGGCAAGATGCTCATGTCGGATCGAGCTTCATCAATGAAACAAATGAAAACCGACATGAGCAGCACTTCGGTAACAGTCGAATATTATAGTGAGGATGAAGATGACGAGGAAGAAGATGAGGAAGATGATAATGTTGATGGTAAGTTTTTTTTAATTGTACATTTCAGCAAATTTTTAATCTTTCAATTTAATTATTTTATTTTTTATTAAATAATTAAATTAATTAACTTACAATTTTAAAATACTTATTTAATTAAATTGCAAATCAATCCTTAATATAAAAATAATGTTTTATGGGGAACCAGTATTTATTTAATGTACATATATGGGGGATTCCATATGAAGTGATCTAGGATAGGATTAGGATACCCTTTACTTTAATAATTTCTATCTCTCACACAATTGAATAAAAAAATTTTGCCAATATCAGTTTTGATAGGTTTTTTTATGCCCTTTTGATTGGTAATATACATTTTTGAAAAAAAAAATTTTTGACCAAAAAAATTTTTATTTTTTTTTTAAACGAAAGCTGAGGTTTTTTCCTATAAGGACATATAAACGAAAAAGTGGGACTAAAACGATTAACCTTTGAAAATTAGAGATTTGTAGTTACTTGAACACATGATAGGAGAAAAAACTTTATTCACCTTGATCACTTCATATGGAATCCTCCATATGTATAGATAATAGATGTTTTAAATTTGTGTTGATATAAAATTAACATAGAAGTTATTTTCTTGTTTCGTTTTTATATTTATGCATTAAGAGTGTTGAACGGTATTTGAAATTCTTTGGCAAAAAGAGAGCTTTAATTATCGCTCTGAACGTGAAATAATATTGATTTTAAAATATTTTTGTCTTTAAAACGGAAATTTTTTACAAAATCAGTTAAAATCGTTATCTTATAAATTTCCTAAATCCGAAAGACTGTACGAATCCATAAAAAAAACGCGATTACAAAACGAAAAGTAGAAAAGTAATGTAATTACAGCTGCGACTTTGTGCTCCCTGCATGCATTTGCCATCTGACGGCGGTGAGAGGTAATGAACCTGTCATTATATTACTTTCCTACTTTTCGTTTTGTAATTTTAGTTTGATTTAGAAAGTTTATAAGATAAGGATCTTCAGCTGCTTTTGTAAAAAGTGTCCGTCTTTCGAAAAAAAAAGTATTTTAAAATCAATGTTTATCATTTTCACGTTCAGTGCCGCTTTTATAGGGTGATAATTAAAGGTCTCTTCTTGACAAAAAATTTCAAAGACCATTCGACTCTCTTAAATAAATTTTGTTCCACTTAAAATCGTTCTTTTAACATTGAAAATTAATCTTTTAAAATCGGACACAAACACTACAGCAATAATATAATTATTTATATATATAAAACTGAAAATAGGTAATTATTTTGTCATTTATTACAGTATTTATAGATTAAATAAATTTTGATTACCCGTGAATCAGTGTTTTTATATAAAAAAAGAAAAAAAAATTCAATTTTTTAACAAATTTTTTAATAAAATTCTTCATAAATTTAATTATCTTATACTATTTTTCAATTAAAATTTTTATGAAATTTAATAATTGTTTATAATTTTAAAAAAATTAGCAAATTAAATTACCAAAAAATTTTAATTCAAAATCATTTGAAATTTAATTATTTGCAAAAAAATTTCAATTATTTTTAATGATTTTTATAATATTCTTTGAAAATTCAATTATCTGAAAACATTTTTCAATTGAAAACTCTTGGAATTCAATTTTTGTATGCGATTTCTAATAAATTCTTCATCAACAGAAATCACTAAAAATTTCTCTTATTATAATTATTTTCTAAAATTTAACAAAATCTTTTGAAATTTAATTACTTTCAAAAATTTCAATTTTAAAGCTTCTAAAATTTAATTAATTCAAAAATTTTCCATCTAAAATTTTTTGAAATTTAATAATTTCAATTATAAATCTCCTGAAATTGAATTCTTTTTAATTAATTTTATAATATTCTTCAAAAATTTAACTATCTGAAATCATTTTTTACATAAAAAGTTTTCAAATTATTGTATTTTTGTCTGCAATTTTTAATAAATTTTTTAGTAACAGAAATCATCAAAAATTTTAAATTAAAAATCACTTGAAATTCAATTAATTTCAAAAATCTAAATTGTAAATTTTTTAAAAATTCAATTACTTTTAAAAAATGTTATCTAAAATTATTTGATAATTTATTTTTAGTTCAGTAAAATTTATTTATTGTCGAGTCATTCCATTATATTTCGAACAATGTCGTTGCCGACTAATTTTTAAAAATTATGATACTTTGCAGGGATGATCTTGAAGTTATAAAGATCACGAAATGAAAAGATTTTTACTAAAATTTTTATTATTTACTTTAAAATATGAATTTAAAGTGTACGAGGTGCTGAAAATTGACAGTTTTTCAGCCAGCAGAAAATATTCGAAAAAACCTATAATTTACCATAAAAATGTGAAAATTATTATTGCAATTTATTAAGAATGACTAAATTTACTTTTATAAATTGATTTAAGCATTTAAAGATATGAAATAATAGGAAAAACATGATTTTCAATTTCATCTTAAAAATAACCTAATTTTGCTATTTTTATCGATTAATTATGAGAAAGGGTAAATATTAAATTAAAAAAAAACTTACCAAATATCAAGTCATTGCTATTAACTTTCAGATTTTCTTTGTACTTTTTAATTTTTCTCTTTATTTATATAAAAATTTTGAAAAAGAAAATTGCCACTTTGCTCATTTTTGCGATTTTTGAAACTGAATAACTTGTTTACAGTAAAACGGAAAAATCTGGGATTTTGGGAGTATTTAAATATTCACTAAATAAACACACTCCAAAAGTCTTGCGTTGGTTTTTGAGCTATTTTGTAAGATAAAGCAGATCGAAATTTCATTACTTTTGAGGCTATATTGACAATAATTTGTTCTTAACTTGAAGTTGGCTCGCAAGTGTTGTCATTTAATATTTAAACAAATATGAATTTATTACAAGGCTCGACACTTGCGAGCCAACTTCAAGTTAAGAACAAATTATTGTCAATATAGCCTCAAAAGTAATGAAATTTCGATCTGCTTTATCTTACAAAATAGCTCAAAAACCAACGCAAGACTTTTGGAGTGTGTTTATTTAGTGAATATTTAAATACTCCCAAAATCCCAGATTTTTCCGTTTTACTGTAAACAAGTTATTCAGTTTCAAAAATCGCAAAAATGAGCAAAGTGGCAATTTTCTTTTTCAAAATTTTTATATAAATAAAGAGAAAAATTAAAAAGTACAAAGAAAATCTGAAAGTTAATAGCAATGACTTGATATTTGGTAAGTTTTTTTTTAATTTAATATTTACCCTTTCTCATAATTAATCGATAAAAATAGCAAAATTAGGTTATTTTTAAGATGAAATTGAAAATCATGTTTTTCCTATTATTTCATATCTTTAAATGCTTAAATCAATTTATAAAAGTAAATTTAGTCATTCTTAATAAATTGCAATAATAATTTTCACATTTTTATGGTAAATTATAGGTTTTTTCGAATATTTTCTGCTGGCTGAAAAACTGTCAATTTTCAGCACCTCGTACACTTTAAATTCATATTTTAAAGTAAATAATAAAAATTTTAGTAAAAATCTTTTCATTTCGTGATCTTTATAACTTCAAGATCATCCCTGCAAAGTATCATAATTTTTAAAAATTAGTCGGCAACGACATTGTTCGAAATATAATGGAATGACTCTGTCTGAAAATTAACAAAATCTTTTGAAATTCAATTATTTCTAAAAATTTCAACTTTAACTCTTCCAAAATTATTATTATTATTTAAAAAAAAATTTATTTAAAAATCTGTATTGAGTATTGCCTGAAATTTTTTCGACCATAAAAACTAAAAACTATGACAAAATTTTTAATTTGAATAAATTGCTTAAATCAGACTTGAAAAAATTATAAAAATGGAACTTTAAAATTTTTTTCTTTAGAAATTTGTCCTACTTAAATAAAATTTTGAAAATTTGTCTTACAAGTAGTTCGATTCTGAAATATTCGAAATAAATTTTCTTAATAATATTTTTATAGAATTATTCTCATTACAGAATTAATAAAATGAATTTAATATCTAATAATATTATTTATTTAAAGTAAAATATTCATTAACCAATTAAATTTAAAAATTAAAATAAAAAAAATCGACTTTTTCAACATTTTTTTGGAATATAAATCGATTAAAACGACTTTTTTTGTGCCTTAAAGTCGATCCGATGCCTGGAATTCGAAATTATTTATTTTACGTAAAGAGTGTAATCAAAGATGACAGAGTAAATAGCCAAATATTTTCCCCTAAACTTCCTAGTTCTTAAGACTTCCGTGAAAGAAAGAAAATAAAGTTAATCTGAATTTTTCTCCCCCTGGTATATCTAAACTCAGAAATACATTAATTCTTCAGATTTTATCGGAGCGACATAACGATTAACTATAAATTAGATATACTTGTATAGGATTACTTTTATTAGATTACTATTTACATTAACATATTCATATTTTTCCAATATCATTTTTTACAAAAAAAAGATTTTAATCACAAACTAAAAACTTTTTTCATTTAATAATTAAAATGATTTTTCATATAATTCATAAAATCATAAACTTCATTAATCAATCAATTATGCGAAAATTCTATTATTTTTAAATTTATTGCAACAAATAAATAATAAGAATTAAAAAAAAAATTAGGACCACAATCTTTTTAAGAATTTTATAACCTTTTATTCAAAACTAGAAATTTGTAAATCGTTTAAGATTTGTGGGCTCTAAACTAACAATAATTACCTCTGTCACATTATAGTAATATAATTATATATAATTTATAAAATTTAACTATTGTTATTGAAGATAAATAAAAATTATAATAGATAACTAATAATTAAACAAGCAAAATTACACGCGCGCTTCCAACTTTGAATGCAATGGTTGTTTCAAAATAATAATATTACTAATAATAATAATAATTCTGCATCAGTGGAGCAATAAATTAATAATAGGTATATATTTCTAATTTTCACGTTATCATTTATTTATACACAGAAAAAAATGAGTTTGATGTTATATAAATAATGATTTTTTAGTTAAGCCAGCTCATAATAACTTAAATAACATAATAACATAACTTTAGCTAAGTTAATTTTTAAATTTAATAAACTTGTAAAACTATTAGTTCGATTGTTGACGGTAACAACAATGAAAACCCAAGAAGAAACCTATCGAAAAAGAGATGATAAGAAAAACATAAATTAAAACCAATAGTTACAATTGGCGGTGTAAATGTTGATAAATCAATTCTAGTATCGCCAACATAACCGCCGCTACTTGAAATGCCGAGAAAAATTAATTATGTTGTGTCAATTATGATTAAAATATTCTCTGTCACTTATGTATACTGCATACGAAAAGGCAGAGATTGTTGGGATAAAACATATTACTGACGAATGGATTTTCTTATTGACACAATGTATATAACAAGTAAGATCATTTTTTTGTGAATTGATAATAAAAAAATAAGATTTTTAAGTAAAAATCTTAAAATATAAATATTTTTGATAAAGTCAATGTTCGATGATTTTTTATAATCTTTGAAATTACAAAAAATTAGTTTTGCTAAATATTTTTTTGTATTTTCTATAAATATTTCGTTGCAAATGAAAATTTTAAATTTATGTTTTTTTTCAAAAAATTTAATTAATTGATAATTAATAAATATTAAAAAATTATGTAATCAAAAAGAAAATTAAATTAACTGAAAATTGTTAATTACATTTTAAAAAGTATTAAGCAATTAAAAAATATTTAAAAATTTTGAAAAACTAAAACCTAAAAAAAACTTTGTAATGTTTTAAACTTTAAACTTAAATTAAAAATTAAAATTAAATTGAAAATTTTTTAAAAAAGCAAACTATTTTTATATTGTTTACAGATAAAAAAATATAACAATTTAATAATTAATAATAAAAACAAATTAATAATAATAAATTTATGAATAATAATATATAATAAATAATAATGAATAATGAAAAAATAATGAAAGAAATAATAATTATAAGTTAAAATGTTCTAATTATTTGTAATAATCATTATATAAAAAAAATGTATAGAATATAATATATTTATAAATAATAATAAAAATTATATTATAATTGAAACTTTTTTTTTGCTATAAATACCAAGTAGAAAATATACTTGTGCTGCACACAATGAACAATATTTTTTTTTTACTTTAAACTGTCACTTAGTATATGACTTAATTAATGACGATGAATAAAAATATCCGTCGCGTTAACCATAAAATATTACGAAATCAAGAATTGTCAAAATTTTAGAAAAACAAAAGGAACAAAATACGACTAACTTCAAGTGTGGACAGACGGAATGAATGAATGAATGAATGAATGAATACGGAAATTATTATAGTTAATAAATTAATAATTAATAATAATAATTAATAATTATTAATTTTTTATTTGTTACGATAATAATAATAAAATTATCTCAATGAGTAATTAAAGTAATTAATGTGTTCTTTGACGCCAACAATGGTTTTTGTAATTAACATTTTAAATTCTGGTATTTTTAATTAATTTCAATTTTTTTTTTATTCATCATTTAGAAAAGAAAAAGCCTACAGAAATATTTAAAAACGGAAGGGAATTGCAAAATATCCTTTTCAAAGATGAATTAAATATATAGCGGATGAAAAAAAGGAAAAAAGTAAGAGGAATAATGCTGGGAATAAAAAAATAATAAAAAGTAAAGGCATTGAATTAAATATTATAGGAAAAAGAGAAGTAAGTGAAAATTGTGAAAAAAATGAGATAAAAATGAAAGGAAAATACAGGGTAGAAATAAGATCGTATAGATTCGATATATATAATAGTGAATAAAAGAAGCTTATAACAAAATGAAGAAAATAAAAAAGAAAAATAAATAAAAGTTTAGGGACAAAATCTTAATTTTAAAAATCAATGGGAATATTAACATATTTGGCAAAATAATTATTCTATTTTATAATTAATTATTAGTATTAAAATTTAAAACTCCATTATATTGCTAATTAGAAGTTCTAATTGCGTTATAAATAGTTTAATATATATTCCTCATTTAATGGAGAAAACTTTATAATTAGAATATTTGCTCCTTTGATGCGATGACCTTTTTGAAAAACAAAGTCTCAATTAGACACTTACTGCTTCATGTTAAATATTTTAATAGTTTAGTTTATAATCTCAATTAGTCTTGATAATTTAATTGCGCTTATGTATATACATAATTTTAATTAATTTCTACAAATTTAATTTAATTTTATAATTATTTCATTAATTTACTAAAGTACCTATATATATATATATATATATTGCGAAAATTGTTTAATAATTATTATCATAATTATATTATGATAATTGAATTATTATTATTTTATTATTTTTATTTTATTTTTATTACATTCCCTCCTGTATTTATATACTTGTAAAAACTTACCTTCATAAGTCGACATTTTTCATGTATAAATCATTAAAGTTTTCAAAAAGACTGAAAGCCATTAAATTTACTTTCAAAAAGTACATTTATCGAGCTTAAAAATTTCTACTTAAAGTTTCCTCTTAGTTGTTGGAGAAACTCTTAGAGAAATCTAACACTTTTGCCAATAAATTTTTTTGAACTTGTTTTCACAATTTTTTTTTCCGTTTAAAAAATGCTTTTTTTCATAATAGAATTTATTCAAATGAAATTATTCAATATGAAATAATAATAATAATAATAATAATTCTATAAAAATATTATCAAGAAAATTTATTTCGAATATTTTAGAATCGAACTAATTGTAAGACAAATTTTCAAAATTTTATTTAAGTTGGACAAATTTCTAAAAAATATTTTTAAAGTTCCATTTTTATAATTTTTTCAAGTCTGAAAATTTATTCAAATTAAAAATTTTGTCATAGTTTTTAGTTTTTATGGTCAAACAAATTTCAGGCAATATTTAATCAAGTTTTATAGATTTTTATATTAATTTTATATTACAGAATTTTTATATAACCGAAAATTCACTTCACAGAATTTTTATTTGCTCGAATTTTCATTCAATATAATAGGTATTTTAAAGAATTTTTATTAGGTAGAATTTCATTGCATAGAATTTTCTTTTAGATGAATTTACATTTGTTCGAATTATTATTTGATATAATTTCCATATAACCGGTTTTTTCATGCTACAGAATTTTTACTTAACCGAAGAATCATTTAACTGAATTTCTATAATTGATAGAATTTCCATATGTTCGAAATTGCAAATGACCGAACAAACAATCGACAGAAAGATTCGGTGCGATTTTTAAAATCAACAAATCACAATTTTATGGATAATTTTTGATTGGTTGATTTTAAAAATCGCACCGAATCTTTCTGTCGATTGTTTGTTCGGTCATTTGTAATTTCGAACAAATGAAAATTCAGCTCAAATATAATTATGACAAATGAAATTCTAAAAAATGAAAATTCTCTTTCATGATGTCTAGAACATAATTATGCGTTTAAAAAAAGTCGAAAAAAGTCGTATAATCCGAGGCCTGCGTAATTAAAAAATAAAAAATAATTTTCTATTTTCATGTAAAAAAAATATCAACATATATTTCTACTTTCTAAATAGTATGTAATAATATTTGTCTTTTTTTCCAGATAATTCCATCTCTAGTTACGAGAAATACTTAGGAGGACAATTGCCACATGGTCGAATAAAATCAGATTTAGCTGAGGACAAATCCCAAAGGCAAAGTAGTCAAATAGCAAAGGAATTGTCTGATCTTGTTGTTTATTTGCAAGCAATAAAATTTCGCGGCTTAAATACAACAGCTGGATCAGGATCAATGGGTAAAATTCGTCATCAACCACACACGGGAACAGTGCAAAGACATAGTATTGCCGGTATTGGAACAGCCGGTGTTGCACCATCATCAGGATCACCTCAATCATTATCGACGTCGGCCTCGATTGCCAGCGGTGGCAGTAATATCGACAATATTTTCCGTATAACAAGAGGTATTCCAGCATGTTTTCAAACATCATCATTAAATGAGAGTGCAGCAAAGAAAATTTGCCGTAAACAACCATTAGGTGTTGTTGCACATGCGGAGACACAACTTATTCGAACATATCCCGCTGGTATGCGAATTGATTCATCAAATTTTAATCCAGTTATATTTTGGGCATTTGGACTTCAAATGGTAGCACTTAATTATCAAACTGACGATGCTGCACTACATTTGAATGCTGCGATGTTCGAACAAAATGGACAATGTGGTTACGTGAGAAAACCATCTGTTATGTGGGATAAAGATCACATGATGTACAGGTAAATAAAATTTATATATTCTTTATATTTAGAAAAAAAATAGTTTTTAGAATTCAATGATAGAGAATAACGAGCTTGTCCCTCCCTCTCTCTCTCTCTCTCTCTCTCTCTCTCTCTCTATCTATTTTTCGAGATAAGAAGCTTGGTGTGGAGAACAAAAGATTCGGTACAATGAGATTTTCTAAAAAGAGATAAGAACTCAATGAACTTGAGCTGTTTCAATAAGAGAATAAAGTGCGCCTCTTGATAAAGACTAAAGTTCGTTGAGAGGAAATTTAGCAAAAAACAAGAAAAATCTAACAAAAAATCAATGAAAGTCATTTCCTTGTCAATGAAAGTTATTTGGTTTTTACTAATTGTTTTAAGACTTTAAAAATCTCTATAAAATAGTTACAAGAATAATTCAATAATTAGAATCAAATTTCAATTCTCTAGGATTCTAAGGTATAGGTATTTTTTGTTTCTCTAATACAATGATTAGGTCAGTATCAAAGAACTCATTACAAATTTATAATCATTGGTCTTAATCTGTTTATAAAGGAGACCACATTTCCCTTCGAGTTATTAGCTTTACAGAATGCATTATTCATTGTAATAAAAACCACAGATTCGAGGGATGGAATTCCTAAATAAATAATCTATATCTATAATACTCTCCACAAGAAGTGGATTGTGGTCAGGCTCTTAGCAGCGGTAACTGTTACCACCAGGAAGAAATAGTTCGAAATCTGATTACAACAAACATCTGCATTAAGCCTTCTGATGCGCTGTAATCAGCCATTGTTTAAATTCCAAGGTCCAGGAATCTCGATTCCTCTATAAGCGTATTATGATAGCTGTACTAATTTAGGTAGTTGACTTGAAATTTGTTCAGAAGTTAGGTGCATAAAGAGAAGCGCGTAAATTTGTCAAATGAAATTATTGATCTCAAAATCACCTTCGGCGTAATTGGATAGCATTACAAATTATTTCACCATTGGTTGAAATTAGTACACATTAAAATTAATTTTTGAATCAATTTACGATTACGTGGGTGACCACGCTAAGCCCTAGCGGATGGAGCAATAAATTTCAAAATTTTTTCCGTGTAGTTAATTTACTAATCAAGTGACAATCTTTGGTTATTCTATTTTTTAATTCAACTCTATCCTCGACTATGTCTATCGAAATCAATTTAAATGAAAAGCTAATACAAATGTTGGGTATATTCATTCAATTCTGGAACAGTAGTTGATTCTGATGCAGAAAGATAGGATGATTCTCATGAAAATCTGCAATGCCTTTTTGATACTTTCGTCGTAGATAAATCGGAGCAAGTTGTTTTTAATAATCGTCAATGTATGAAACACGGAGAGAAAAAAAAGGCTACGATAGCAGGAGACCGAGGTAGTAACTGCCTAGGTGACTCAAGTAGTAGCATTAAAGTCAACACAACTTGGGTCCCAAGTAGTTTTTGCCTGGCAAACACAAGATGTATTAAAAGCTTTGTTAAAACTTAGATGGTAAGGTAGGAAGCGCGTGAATTAAGCTGGGAAATTCAAGAATTTCCTACCTTATCCTCTGAGTTTTAACCAGGCTTTTTCAAAACCTATATGAGCCAGTGACAAGCTTTATTGGATTAACATCAATAAAAATAATAAAATTAATATTATTACCTGTTTCAGACGCTTCAATCCCTGGGACAAGGAGTTCGATGGACTACACTCGGTACATTTGACCCTCTCGATTATATCCGGTCAATATGTTTCTCCAGCGAATCTTGTAACCAGCACCTATGTAGAAATCGAATTAGTTGGCATTCAAATAGACTGCGCGAAACACAAGACCAAAGTTATTCAAACCAATGCACTCAATCCAATATGGAATGAGAAATTCTGTTTTCAAGTAATGTTTAGAGATTTAGCATTCTTACGATTTGGAATTGTTGAAGCAAGCTCACATCATTTAATAGCCCAACGAGTTCTACCACTCAAATGTCTTCGACCTGGATATAGACACGTGAGATTACGTTCGTTAAAAAATAAACCACTTGCTCTATCGACACTATTTATTTATTCACGAATGGAAGAGGAGAGCCTCGATTATAATACATGTTGTCGCGATCATAAGGAATCATCAAAACGTCCTTCCTCCGGTAAGGAACCAGAAAAACTCAATACCATTGATCCGGGACTTAGTGGTGTCACACTAAAACGAAGAATGTTTTTCCTCATGGTTTATCATGTCGTACCCGAGGAACCTTACACTATTCTCAAGGTTACACAGGAGAGTACAACGCAGGAGGTTATGTTGCAAGCACTACAAAAGGCAGGAATATCAGCAGAGCATGTTGATGAATATATTCTCGTTGAGGAAGTGTCGAGAGGTTGGGAGAAAAGGGAAAGAGAAGAATTACCAACGCAAAGGGTTTTGGATCCAATTGAACATCCATTGCAAGCTCAGGCATTGTGGAAGGGTCAGGGACGATTTCTTCTCAAAAGAGTTGGTAATGATCCAAGTAGTAGAGCGTGGCTTGCATCAATAAGAAGTACAGCTGGTCATCTAAAGTTAAATGACGATATGATGAGAGATAAATCGTCGACACACATTTGGGATGAGGAGGATACATTTTTGGTTTGTGTTTATAATGTTTCGCCGGAGATACCTTATGCTATATTACGAGTACCAGTGAGTAGTTCGGCGCAAGATGTATTGGCTCAGGCATTAGTGAAGGCAAGAAGAATGGAGGATCCAACGAGATTTGCCCTTGTGGAGGAACTTGAATGGGGCGGCGCCGGTGCAGTTGGAAGCGGTAATCGACAATTGCGATTGTTGAGAGACGATGAGAATGTCTATACAACGCAGGCCTTTTGGAAGACATTGGGAAGGTTTGTGTTGCGAGAACGTGAACAGGCAATACCAAGGAGACATTTATTGCCAGCAACATTGGATCGACTCAGCAAGGGCTTCTCTGTGGGGAGATCGGTCTCATTACCTGGCTCCAGTAAGGAGAAAGTCCCTGTTGCCGAAGCATTGTCCGATCCGACATCGCGAGGTTTAAGACATCGACTATTGTTGCCAGGTAGAAGGAGAGAGGTGCATTCTGATGGAGAGGATGCGAGAGAGTCCGACCTTTTGAATGCAGCCCTCAACTTGAAGAAGGTCTCGCTGCGGAAGTTTCGTATGTGGAAATCATAGTGGCAGTCGCGGGCGACGTCACTCTCTTCGGTCTTCGCCCCTCGGAAAAGCAATTAGGTATTAGGGCGCATTACTTACCCCATTAGTTGATATTAGGACTGCAAGGCAGAATAAAAAAAAAATAATAATAATAATTAGATAAACCAAATTAGTTGTAAAGGAATTAATTACATTAGTATTTATCGTTAAAAAAAAGAAAACATATTTAAACGGATATCAGCAGCATGTCGAGGTTCAGTTTGAAGCCTGGAAATTGATATTTTGAACAGTGGCACTATAAATAAAAATCTCATGCTATTTTTTTTTATTTTAAAGTTTCTTATTGGACTTTTGACCAGGCTGATGATAGTGGCAGCAAAATTATTAGATTTTTAGAAATTAGCCTCTTCCCACAAGGAAAGATTCCAATTGGAAAAAACTGTCAGAATTCCGATAATTTCTTTTTGATCATGAAAAAATAATTTTACAATATTTCCAAACGCACATTTCTTAAACAAATTGGAAATATTAAAAATGTTGAAATAATTTTTTCATTAGCAGTGAAAAAAATCGGAATTTTCCTAGGAACTTTTCCTTGTGAGTTGAAAAAAAAGAAAATGAAATAGTTTTTCATGTTTCTTGGAAGTAAAATCATTTTACAAACAATAGATGAAAATAATTTTCAAATACTCGGAAAGTTTTTTTGTAATTCCTCAACTTATACTTGTTTCTTTTTCTTTCTTCACTGTTTAGTAGTTTAATCATCTAAGGATTTACACATTTGTAAATAATTTCATCACATAATGTAAAGTTTACAATTTATGTCATTTTAGGTTTAAATTCTTGTAAGTTATTTGAGATTTCTCTAAATAAGCAAAAAAAATTGTTTAATTAGAATTCGACAATTTGATTCAAGATTTTTTTTAGTTTCTGAAGCAATTTTAAACAAAAATATATAACAAATTAGGATATTAAAAAATTTTGTATGTTTTAATTCTATTTGTAAAATATAAAAATAATTTATTATTATTATTACTATTTATAAAAGAAAATAGTCTAATTTTTAGTAAGTTATTAAATTCTAGTAAAATACAAAAAGTTTAGTTTAGAAATTAAATTATTAAATCAACTAGATGCGAAACACGAATAAATAACAAAGCAATATGTGACTAATGAATGAAAGGTTTTTAGTTATTTAAATTAAAACAAAAACTGTTTTCAAATTAAACTAATTAAATTCTAAATAATTTAAAATTAATTAAAATTTTTAAGAATGTATATTAATTTTTTATTTTTATAAATTATTGTTAAGCTGTTTTTCATAAACAATAAGTAAAAAATTATATAAATATTTTTATAATACCTAGAATGCTTGTAATAATTTAAAATAGTAATTGTCGATGTTAGATTGCTATTTCTTAATTGATTGTTTAGGAAGAAATTTTTAAATTAATTATAGACAATTTTTTAGAATAAAAAGAAACACAATTTGTCAAAATGTTTAAATATTTATTTTAAATAATTAGATAAATTCTTCTTAAACATTATTAACTCATTTCTTTTGAACACAATTTTTTAAATAGTATTTTTTACGTTATTGATACATTCCATATATTTAATGAAATTTCAAAAATTTTAAACATATCTAAATTTTTTTCCATTGTCAAAAACGAAAATTTGTGGAAAAATTTTAAATACGTTTAAATGAATATTATATTTTAATCGAACAAAATTAAAAGCGTAGCACCCCCTTAATTTTAAATTATGTCATTTGTGATTTTTAAAAAATCCTAAAGCAATAAAATTTCTATTACTTTTATAATATAAATTGTCACGAATGACTATAGTCAATTACATTATAAAATATATTAAAGATTAAATCATTTTTTTAAAAATGTATCAACATTATTTTAATTTATAAATATTTTGGAGTGTTTTTCTTTTCCTTGTTTAAGTCGAACATATTTAATCTATTTTTCAAAAAAAAAAACCAGGTAACATTTTTTTATCATTTTTAACTCATTTTTTATAGATATAAATGAAATAAATATAAAATTATTTTTATAAAGCTTATTTCACATATATTTTATTTGGTATAAACTCAATTTCAATAAATCTCAATTAACATAAAATTTATTTGAAATAAAACTTATTTGCTGTAAATCTTGATATAAATAAATTACAATAATAACAAATTAAAAAGAGAAAAGGATGTTTTGTCTTGTTTTTTGAGAAGAATATATTAAATATATATTTGACTTAAATCAAGACACACATTTTAAAAAGATACACATATCTTTGAAACGTATCGCAAAAAGAAATTTTGACCAAAATATTTATTTCCATTTATGGGCTGTGGTTTTTTACAGGCTTCAGACTGAATCGTCACTGAAGAATGGATTTAAAAAAAAAAATAAATTAAATATAATACAAAAGTTGACTCACAGATCACGAGAAAATTTTTTTTACACAATTTTCCAATTATTTATAAAAAAAATTATATGTATGAAATTGCACTTTAAAATTGTCAAAACACAAAAGTTCCGAGTTTGCGAAAAAAAAAATTATTAAACTATAATAATGCAATATTAAATAAATATAAATACACAATATTGCAATATTACGTAAACTCAGAAGTTCGGTGATTTTGTCAGTCTAGTTGCATTTACACACCTTAGAAAATAATTTAAGTAGATAAAAAAAAGTCTATTAAAATATGTTTTCTAAATTTTTTTCTCAAATGTTTCAGAACCGAAAAAAGACTCTTGTGTAAATAAAAAATAGTTTATCAATAAAAAAAAAACAAAAACAAAACATTGTTGTAGAAAATATTGCCGTGGATATAACATTTAAGAATAAGATTTATTCTCGAGAAAATAATAAAAGTCTTCGTTCCAAGACGAAACAGGACCAAGGAAGCGACTCTTCTGATATCTTCAAGTTTCACTTAATAATAAGCACTCTAATATTAAGAGGAATTATATAAGTAGCCTAGGATATAAATACCACGGCAATTAATAATGAATGAATTTTAAGAAAAAAAAATTATCTATTTCCTCCTAATCTGCGAGTCACTGATAAAAATAATAATAATAATATTCTCTTTTTAAGTCTTTCTCTAGTCAAAAAAAGAATGAAAAACAGAAGATCTATTGAGCCAATCTGTTTTTTGAAAATTCCTATTTTAAAAGAGTACAAATTAAAATTTTTTTATTCAAGAGAATTTACTCTGTTTCACACCGAAACGTAATATTGCAAAATATTTTTTTTTTAACTTGTATCATTTTCAGTTTAAATCACAAAGTTTTGTAATTGCGCTATTTCCAGAATCGTCCCAACTGCCTCTTACGGTCTATATATTATATCAAATACAGATTTCTTATCGACAATTTTAAAAATGAGAAAAAAAACACATCTAACGCATATTTATATGTATGATTCATTCATAAATATGAAAAAAAAAATATATTTGTATATAAACATATGTAAAACATATAGAAGTACGTTACAATTCGCCTGTGCCAAGCTCGAATCTATCATCAACGCTAAACCATATTATAAATATAATAATTAAAAAGAAAACTTCGTTCCGAAAGGAAATATAATATTTCTTCATTCTCAACGCCTACTGTAAACTACGCATAATTACATGACACATAATTAAATGACATAAAAGTTGGCCAATAAAAAAATGTTACACAAAAAATGTTGTCTTAGAAAAAAAATAAATTCTTCTCTTTACGTTATTCACGAGTTTAAAAAAAACATTGTAAACCTTGGCATACTTATATACATGGAAAAAATATGAAATCGTAGAAGGATTTATCAATTTGCTGTAGAAATTATAAAAAAAAAATTATTGTAAATTCTATACATTTAAAGCACACATTAATGTGTGAATATAAATCTTCCACATGAAGTTACCAAAAAGTCAAAAACACACTTCTTGGATTTTTAAAGCGATTCGACTATATTATATGTTAAAAAATAAAAAAAAAGTCGGCCGAGAAAGACCCGTGTCTGTTCGAATTTCAAAATTTTGTATTTTTCCAATAACTATATAAATTCGCGCAAATATAAATAAAGTCTTGCGTCGCGTATATAAGCAGAAATAAAAAATAATAATAATAACGTTCTCATCTTCGAATATACCAATCGTATACGGTGATCGAATAAGACAGCTATATTAAAAAAAAATATTATATATTTTTTTTTTGATTTTTCAATAAATTTCTTCAAATATTTCTATGTTAAAAATATAAAATTCTGTTAAATGATACATATATATAATATATGGAGATGATTGTTTATTTATGTGTGAATATTTGCATTTAATTTTATGAGATGATTATATAAAGAAAAATTAAAGTTTTGAAAACAATAATCAATTATTAAGAAATAAATAACCTAAGAACATTTTAGAAGAGAGACAGGTATACTGCATGCTGTGATTCAACGAGTGAAATGAATTATATTCAGTTAAATAATCTTCAAATAAAGGGTGCTATTCAATAGTATGAGTTTTATTTTAGATTTCTTATATATTCTTTTATAATTTCAAAAAATCTTTTTTATAATACATTGCAGGATTTAGCCAGTTGAATGTCCCGTCAAGCTGATGCATTCACAATAAATATATTTGGTAAGTAATTAATTGTTTATTAAAAAGTCTTTTCATCATTTATTCTCAAGTGTAGAAAACAAAAATTACTTTCAACATTTAGATAAATTTAAAAAAAATTCTTTAATTTTTTTTTATAAACGGTCATAAAATTTAAAAACGCGTAATATAAAGGTTATAAAATTATAATAAACAAGAAATAAAAAATTTATTACTTTTATTAAAAAAATACAAAAAGGTCATAAAATTTATAAATGGGATTAACAAGGTCAAAAAATTTAAAAGCAACTATAAAAAAGACCAAAAAATTTATAAGCAGCAAAGAAAAAGATCATACAATTTTTAAACTAGTATACAACAGGTTAAAAAATTTATAAGCTGTTATAAAAAGTGTCATAACAATTTGCAATTGTTTTCTGAACAAAAGAAGTTTTCAACACTTTCGATGTGTATGAAAGCAGCACAAACATCTGATAATCTTATTACAAAATTTAATTTGCAATAACATTAGCAAGATCAGATACGCCAAATGACATTGGCCAATCGTGAAAATAATTTTCTAAGGACATAGGAAAAAAATTCTCTGTGAATTATTAATAAAAAACTGGAATTTTGGTAATCAGAGAATTCAAATTTAAATGGGACACGCGGCATTTCTTGTAGAGTAATATTATCAGCCAATCAACGTCTGGCGTACTGTGTTTCCCCTAACCTTTAGCGTCGGGCGCCACTTCCAATAATGGTACGGTCCACTATCTGTGCATGCATGAAGAAACATTTGGCCGGTCACACTTCAACGAAATCTAGTGAATGTTTAGTAACTTTCTAGTAATATTCCAAAAATTTCGATTGTAACTAGAAAGTTACAAAATATTCATTAGATTTCATTGAAGTGTGACCGGTCAAATGTTTCTGACAGTGCATGCATGAGATAGTGTGACCGTACCCTAAAGAGGAATTATTTTCAACCAATCAATGCTCGGCGTTCACAGCGGAAAGAGATTTTTAAATTTTTTATGAAACTCAAACTGGTACTTAGTCATTAGCCGTAAGTTAATTATGAAGAAATTCATGTTAGTAATAACAAAAATAAAGTTAATAAAATTAATTCTATTAATAAAATAATAACATAAAGTAAAGTTAATAGAGTTAATTTTATTAACTTTATTTATGTTATTGCTAACATAAAAGTTTTCAAAATTAACTCGATGGGTAAAAATTTTTGAACGTTTAAATAAACGTAATTTTCTTTGCAACTTCTTTAAGTACGAATTTTAATACAAAATATTGTACGAAATATCTAAAAAGAAGTTAATAATTTAATAATTGTTTAATTTACTGTTTTATTATACATCGCCATCATAATTTTTAAAAATTTATAGATTAAAAAAATATTTCGTTCATTTGAACGTCAGTCCCCGAACTCGGGACTAATAACTAAGTCCCAAACTATAAATTTTTGTAATATGGAATATTCTACTTGAAGTAAATAACCTCGATCTTGGTTTTTTTTATTATTATTCTTTTAAATATTACTAAGTTATTATAAATATATCAAAGGAAATAAATTATGTGCGGACTTTATGTAAAATTGAAAAAAAAAATTTTCTCTATTTTCTTTTGTTTGATAGATTTTTAATATAATAATAATAAAAATAATATTAATAATATAATATTTTTTAATAATTAAAAGTAATAATAAAATTTAAAAAAGCAAGGGGGGTTTTTCGCTTCATTTAGAAAGCCCCAAATGTCATTAGATAATTTAAATACATACTTATATGAAATTTAATTATATGCAATATATTTTTACATTATTTATTAAAGTAATATTTTTGTATGAATATTATTAATTACAAAAAAATTACAAATCATAAAAGTTGAATTGTTTATTTATTTAATTATTGTTTTGTTTTTTAACCAAATAACAACCATCTGAAAAGGACAAAAAATTTGTCTTAAAATGCAATTGTTAATATTGGTTAAATGAATTTAATAAAATAATAAATAGTAAAAATGACAATAAAACAATAATAATGAATAATATTCATATTATAAACATTTTATATTATATTACTTGTTTAATTTACCGCCATTGGAAACAATTTTGTAAGGAAATTAGAAAGAAGTGTGAAAATGGGGGTCAAAAAAAGGTGTGACATAATTTATGAATGGCCCCTTATAATAATTATATTATTTCACTTTATCTCTTTAAGTATATTTTTAAAAAACTTTTATAATTTTGCGCTTTTTTTAGTGTTATACGATTTTATAGACAGTTTTATATTAAAATGTAATTTATTATTTAACCTAAAAATCATTTTTGATAAATTATTATAAAGATATTGTGAATTTATTGTAATTAATTATTTTATTGTTAATAAAAATCATTATTGTTGAAATGAAAAATAATAATTCTTAAATTATTTGTTGATTTTTCAGCTAATTACTAAGAAGAAGAGGTGTTGAAAATAATTCTATATGGACATCGGAAAGAAATTCACAATCAATTATTAATAAAAGTTGGAATTTTGGTCATCGGAGAATTCAAATTTAAATGGGGCGCGCGGCATTTCCAGGAGAGTAATATTATTAGCCAATCAGTGTTTGGCGTCCTGCGTTTCACCCCCACCAGCGTCGCGCGCCACTTCCAACAAGGATGAATTATTTCCAACCAATCAACGCCCGGCGTTCATAGTGGTAGGAGCGCCCCACCACTTCCAGCGTCACTTTTCAATTCTTCACGCATTTAGTCCGCCATGAGCCACGTGCCGAGGAAGATGTCCTGAACTTTGGTGAGTTTTTCTCTTTTACTGAACCCTAATACCACCTCCCTTTCCAGGAAGTTAACCAGGTAAAGTTCCATACTTAATCTGTTAACTTCCAGTTAAATTCCATGCATGTCTAAATATTTCCCTTCTTTTTCTTTCCTTTGTTAACTTTCTAGTATTTATCAATTATTTACTAGAAAAATACAAAGGATTTTTTTGTGAAATATTAAAGTCTAAGATTTAAAGATTGTGGTTTTAAATTTTTTTTATGAAACTGTAACTGGCACATGGCTATCAGCCCCGAGTTAATTTTGAAAAAATTATGTTAGCAATACCAAAAATAAAGTTAATAAAATTAATTTTATTAACATTATTTATGTTATTGCTAATATAATTTTTTTCAAAATTAACTCGGGGCTGATAGCCATGTGCCAGTTACAGTTTCATAATTTTTTTTTTACAGTATCCAATCAAAGTACTTTAAATAATAACATTTGAATTTCCTCAAAAATATAAATTTTTGTAAAATGACATATTTTATTTGAAGCAGACAACCTCGGTCTTGTTTTTTTTAATATTATTTCTTTAAATATTATTAATTTATTAAAAATTCATTAAACAAGAGAAAATATGTGTATACTTTGTATTAATTTTAATACAAAATATTCACCTGTTAATCTTCGTTTTATGGATTTTTAATAAAATAATAATATTTCAAAGTAATAATATTAAAAAGAAACAAGAGGGGGTTGTTCGCTTCATTTAAAAGGCCCTTAATATCATTAGTTAATTTAAATACATATTTATATGTAACCTGAACAGTGAAAAAGAGGCTTACGTGCGAAAAAATTTATTTTTTATTGATTAGTGATTTTGATGGAAAAAAGTTTTCTGTCAGAATCACCAATCAATAAAAAATCGATTTTTTCGCACGTAAGTCCCCTTTTCACTGTTCAGGTCACATTTAATATTTAATTATATATAATTAATTTTTACTTTATTTTTTATTTAATACTTTTGTTTGAATATTATTGTCTACAGATAAATAAAATATCTACAATAAAATAAATAAATAGTTTTTTACAATAAAATATATTAGTAAATAATAAATAGTAAAAATAACAATAAAATAATAATAAAGAATAATATTCAAACAAAAATACTAAGTAATTAAATAAAGTAAAAAGTATGAAATATATAAATAAATAATTAAAAAAATATGTAACATAACTTAACTAATCGAGGAAATTCAAATGTAAATAAACATTTAAAGTACTTGGAACAGATACTTTAAAAGAAAAATTTAAAACTATAAACAATCTTTAACCCTTAAGAAGACTTTAAAATTTCAGAAAAAAATCCTATGTATTTTTGTAGTAAATAAACAATTGATAAATACAAGAAAGATAAGAAAGGAAAGAAAAAAAAAGAAGGGAAGTATATGTAGACATCTGTGGAAGATAACTGGAAGTTGCAGAATTAAAACAGGAACAGACCATGGTTAACAGATAGGAAAGGGAACCGGTAGAAGGGAGAAGTAAAAGAAAGACTCCACCATAAGAAGCGATGGACGTTATGAATGAAGGGCTACATAAATAGGATAATAATATGTACAAGATTAATTAATAAAATTTTTATTTAAAAAAATTCATCATAGAGATTGTTTCTTCTTCAAGTGTCTACTGTGTCCTCCTCTCTCCTCCTTCGAACCAGGTGCCTCGTGTCCTGAGATTTGGTAGAGTTCTCCTTTCAGTTCTCCCTTCTACCGGTTCCCTTTCCTATCTGTTAACCATGGTCTGTTCCTGTTTTAATTCTGCAACTTCCAGTTATCTTCCACGGATGTCTACATATACTTCCCTTCTTTTTTTTCTTTCCTTTCTTATCTTTCTTGTATTTATCAATTGTTTATTTACTGCAAAAATACATAGGATTTTTTTCTGAAATTTTAAAGTCTTCTTAAGGGTTAAAGATTGTTTATAGTTTTAAATTTTTCTTTTAAAGTATCTGTTCCAAGTACTTTAAATGTTTATTTACATTTGAATTTCCTCGATTAGTTAAGTTATTTTACATATTTTTTTAATTATTTATTTATATATTTCATACTTTTTACTTTATTTAATTA